GTGCAATTTTGATTATTAATATGCAGGTATTTACTCAGAAAAAGGCAAAACTTTCATTTTCAGGAAAAAAAAAAATTAGCAACTCGTATTGATAATTTTTAAATCTTTATAATGGCACTTGAAAGTTCAATTAAAACAATTGCATCATCCAGGAATTATACAATTTTGCATTGTCTCTCATTTCATGTGATTTATGATTCTAAGATGCCCATTATGTTCATATCTTCCAAACAAAAAATTATTTTCCCAGCAAGTGAATGGTGTAATTTTACTTAATATCTTTAGATAGATCATAGAGTTTTATAAAACATTGTACTAAAGTACAAAAATAAGTGCTTTATGCACAGTTTTTAATACTGTATCTTTTTTTTTGGTACCTCAGCTAACCAACATCACATAAATAAAAATAATAACAAAAAAGAAAAGAAGGAAGAGATTGTTTAACATCTGAAAGCTATAATTGCATTTTGCTGACAGCTTGCTTTTCATTAAGATACAGGGAATAACAATATTGGGCTGTATTGCAGTCAGAAACGTAGAAGAAAAGGAGAATTGTATGAAGGAATAAGAATAAAAATAAAAATTCCAATGGTTACATTAAATATTTAAACCAGTGATAATGATGAATTGATTTAAATAGATTTATCTGTGCCCAAAGATCTCGAATTATAAAGAAAATGCCACGTTTCAAAATAAAATTTACATTTGTAAAGGAGTATATATACTTAATTGCAAATCATTTATTGCAAAAATAGGCATGGCTAAGGCTTGTTATATAAATTTTAAAATTTTATAAACAGAAATGAATTTAGAAAACAGAAATAGTTAATGGCCAAAATGTTTTCAAGTAAATAAAATATATAGGTACCTGTTCATTAACATCATAAATCAGTTTGTGTATTTATCAATTCCATGTTTTAATACTCCTTCTGGACCTCTAACTAACATTTTCACCTTCTTCTATTTTTGCCTTTATATTTCTCCTGGGGAAAATTTTTGAAAACTCATTTTATTTAAGTAACTATAATAGGTCAAGTGTTAAATTCATCTTTTAAAAGGCCTATTGTATCAATCCAGAGCTTGGCAATCATAGTGAAAACTTAAGGTTTAGAACAGAGTTGATTTATTTTCAGGATTCTAAGGGGCAAGACCTATCAGTGAGGCAATTATATGTAATTTTGAAAAATGCAGAATGGACCATGAGTCTGTGTGCCCCATTAAGGAGAGAAGTAGAAAACATATGTATTTGTATCCACAGTTTCTGGCATAAGAGTAGGTGCATAGTAAACACAGACTGATCATGTATTCGCTGAAGAATAGATTTGTGGGTTAATAGCAATAGAGCCTATAAAATTTGTTTAATTTTCAATGTTGATAAAGAGAATTGAAGGAGAGTTAAAGGGAAATTTTGTGAAAAAGGAAAATAATCTAACAATATCTTTTTTCATTCAAAATAAAACCTTTATATGGAATGATGTAAGGATTTGTTTATGAAGAATGGTTGATGAACAATTATAATGATGAAATCAAATGCAAGGGAATTAGTGTTGGAGCAAATTTGTGAAGCAGAAGGAAAAAAAGCTAGTATGTTTTTTAAGGTGAAGGTTTACATAAGATCCTTCTGTTTTGAGATAGAAGTAACTTGACTCAAGGAAGAAAGAAACCAGTAAATGGTCTAAGACCTTACTAGTGCCCTGTGGATCTCTATAGACCAAGCAAGTGTCCCTAAGAGCTATCTGCTTGTCTTTCCCCCTGCCTAATCTGGCGTAGTAATGGCTAGCTTGTGCTGCCATATGAAGGCAGAACTCAGGACTCATAGCCCAGGGGTAATGAGAGGAAAACTAGGACCAGAAATGTGCTGGGTAGAGAGACAGTAAGACAGAAAGTGGATTGATGGAGATTTTGGAGGAGGAAGTGTTAGATTCTTCTCTGTCTACCATGACCCTGCTCAGTCAGGAAGGAGTAGCTGGGCTCTTTAGTATAAGCTGCTATCTGCTCTGGAGAGGGTAAATCCAATTCTACAAAATTAAAAGCAAAAGAAGACCACAATCCATAAAGTGGTGGTGGTGGTGGTGTGTGTGTGTGTCTGTGTGGCAGCAGGTGGGGAGGGGGACTGTATAATTTGTTGTCTAAACTGGGACACATTTGGGAATAAGAGGGACCATTGTTAATATTTACAAAAGGACAGCAGACCTAAGCCAGAATTGTCCTGAAAAACCAGGATGTATTGTCACTCCAGAGAGACATTGCTAAACCCTGAATAAGGTTGATATACTGCAGTCTCCAAAAAGGTCTTTGGGCAGCTTACTTTATTTAAGGTACTGTTTCTACACATGGACACAGGGAGGGGAGCACTACACACTGGGGTCTGTTGAGGGGAAATAGAAGAGGGACAGTGGGGGTGGGGAGTTGGGGAGAGATAGCATGGGGAGAAATGCCAGATATAGGTGATGGGGAGGAAGGCAGGAAATCACACTGCCACGCGTGTACCTATGCAACAATCTTGCATGTTCTTCACATGTACCCCAAAACCTAAAATGCAATTAAAAAATATATATAAAAAAATAAATTAATATTTTAAAAAAAGATACTGTTTCTTGGTCTCTTCTATTCCCTTAGACAAAGTATCATTTGTGGAGAGAGAGCAAGATGTATTCTTCTTGAATTTCTCTCTCAACATAGGAGAAAAGTCTGTAAGGGGCAGGTAGGTACAGAAGTATTCTATATTTTATTCCGGGCATGTTTGGATGAATGAAGTCTTTTGGTTTTCAGGTAATTTTCCCTTTCTAAAATTGGCTATAAATTTCATTATTAGTGAGAGTACAAGGTTTTCTTTTAGCTTTCCTACAAAACTGAGAAGAACTGTGGACACACAGTTTACAATCTCCCACAAATGAGCCTACATATACTTCGCTGTCTATATTGAACTTACACATTCTATTTTCTGTATAAATATTGTTAGACAGCACGGCTGTTAAAATGTTGGATATTTTGAGGGCAATAGAGTATTCTGTGCCCATTTTTCATTTAATAAAAAAAGTTTAAATGTTTTACCACTTAGGTAAAGAGGGAGAATGGGAGTCAGAAAAATCTTTTTCCTTAGTTTCACTCATTACAGCACAATTTACTTTGTTTTTCTAATGTTGGCAAACACAAACATATAGTCTGGTATATACATTACATTTCTATGAATATGTTCTAGTAAAATGCAGAGCATTTTTCAAGACATTATTTGAGTAAACTAAAATTTCAAAATCAAATTTGACAATTTAACAAAACCTAGTTGACAATGGCTGCGTGTCAGGTAGGAATATTTACTGCCTAGATTCTTTCTGTCTTCCAATAAGTGTATACAAAATCTTAAGTTATCCTGTTCATATTTTCTTTTTAAAAATATTTATCCAAAGTATTTTTGTAGTGCTTACTAGAAACTTAGTTTTATCTTTAACAGATGTATTTACAATATATAAAAGTGTATCTACAAAATATAAAAAGTACCAAGTTTCTAGGCTAATTTTTAGATACATTTTCATCCCCCTGGGAAATTTTATATGAATGCAAGGAGAGAATAATCATGACTTTGTGTGAATACTGAACACATTGTTCATTTTCTGTTGTAAGTTACTGTTAGAAAATCTTAGTGTTGGAGTTGTTCAATAATAATAGACTTTATCAAACTTCATAGCTTAGAATGCAGTGAAAATTACCCGAATTATTAACTTGATTGCCCTTTATTTTACAGATGGCACACTTAAGAACCTCCCTGTCTATGTGATTCTAATTGTGGCCCAGTTGTCCAAGACAGAATTATAAAATAGTCATTTAGAATATAATGAAAATTAATAAAAATAAAAAATTATGTTGATGCAATATTTTGCTAAATGCAATCAGAAGAATTTTTTTTTCTAAAAAAAAACTTTTAAGTAAAATAAAAACCAATTTCCTTCACAGCTGATATCAACACATACTTATAATTTAATTTCTATCCCACCTTGAAAAAGTTAAGGAATTGTGGTTTGGAGGAAATAGGTCCCTTTTTGTTACATACTTGTTTTGCTTTTTTTTGGAGACAGGGTCTTGCTCTGTCACCCAGGCTGGAGTTCAGTGATGTGAACATGGCTCACTGTAGCCTTGCCCTCTGGGACTCCAGCAATCCTCCTGCCTCAGCTTCCCAAGTAGCTGAGACCACAGGCCCACATCATCACACTTGGTCAATTATTATTATTATTATTTTTGTAGAAGTGGGGTTCTCTCCACGTTGCCCAGTCTGGTCTTGAACTCCTGGCCTCCAGCAATTTTCCTGGCTTGGCCTCCCAAAGTACTGGGGTTACAGACATGGGCCATGGTGCCAGATGTTTTTTGAAATCCATATTTTCTTGACATGAGGTAGCTTTTTAGCAGCATTTTGGGTGTTGTTCCCCAAACAGTGTGGTTTGCCATGATAACAGATTGGAGGATAATCTAGTCATCTAGGAGAATTATATTTCATTGTATCCGGAGGTGCTGTTCTAGCTATAGTAATGCAGTGGGAGAGAAGTAAAGCAGTTTGAGAAGAGGCAGCATTTTTACAGGAAAGAAAATAGATACCCATTCTCATTGCTGATCCATTTCCTCCTACTGAAGCAACATCAGGCTGATTTTAATTATCAATTAGCTATTAATTACCAGAATTTAGAGACCCAATTCAAATGTACTGGATGTTCCTAAATTATTGTTTTGTTATTATAAAACTAATTTTAATTTTTTTCTATGAAGAATTAGGGAGCATTCCAATAAGAAATTACAGAAGAATTGATAGTGGTGCAGAAGGTTTGAAGGTATTAAATAGGTGCTAATATCTTAAGTCTAAAAATATAAACCTTATGCAAAATTAGCCTTTGGTTCTACCAGCAATTTAAAAAGCCCATTTTCTTAATAATTTTAAACTTACAGCAGCAGGACTTGCTCTACCTACTTAACTTGGGGGAAAGTGAAGTTTCATGTGGCATGGTAGACACATTAACAGTTTCTATGAATATAATTTAATGGAATTCGAAGTATTCCCTAGATACTACTAAAACAAAGTTTTAGCAAAAAAACAAAACCACATCTACCTATTTGTACAAAACTGGCTCTAGGGAGGTAAATGGTGTGATAACTTGAGATGGTGTTCCCGTGGTAATTTTCTCGATATTTTGGTATTATTGTATGTTTGGGTGTTTGTTCTTTATCTTGTATAAAAACAATTATGACTTTATCCAGAATAATGAATTTTTTCTCATAAAGAAATTCCAGTATTAACTATTTTTTCATTTTGATTAAATTTAAAGCTTCTTCGAATCAAACCTAATCTGCACTGACAAGCCATCTGATAATAAATACCCTTTGCTATTTATTTTCAAAGATTTTAAGGAAAATCAGATCTCCTGCTCCTAGAATTTGGAATGCATTTTTAGACTGAGTAAAAATTTGCCTGCCCCAATGGACATTTGTATGTCAATGTAATTACTATCTTTGAGAATAAAAGCAGATCTGTGGGAGAGTGTAAATTTGAATTTAAGAATTGCTTTAGGAGAAAGTTGTTTTACTTTCTCCTTTTTAGAGTTAGTTTCAAGCCTATATAAATTACTTTTAAATTCATACTATTAATGGGATAAATATGATTTGGCTATTTGTTTTAACTTAGATGATTTTTAATTGCATTTTTCTATTTAATAAAAGTGAAATAAAAAAAGAAATTAAGAAACATAGTATAAATACAAGAATATAGCAATTCCTAAACCTAGGTGCATATTGAAATCACCTAGGGATCATTAAAAAATACTGATGCCAGGCACCCATCCAAAGAAATTTTGATGTAAATGTTATGAGATACTATATTGGCATTAGCATTTTTAAAAGCTCTCCAGATGATTCTGTTGTACAGCTTACTTTGGGAACTTGTGTCCTAAGAAATATTAGAAGCTAAATGTAAAACAGAAAGCACAGGGCCTTTCCGAGTTTCAGTTGTAGCCTTGAAGCCTTTGTTACTTCACTGGAGTTAGTACAACAGAAATATTACAAGTACTTTTAATTGTGATTGAAATTTACCTGATTTTGATTAGAATCTGGTCTGCTTTTGGATCACAGGATTCCATTAAGGAGTTGGCAAAATTTTGTGTCTTTGTATTAATGTTTTCCTTTGAGTTCTGTAGATTTTTGTAAGGGCCAAGGGATTTTAAAAAATGAAAATTCTATTACTGTATCTTAAACCAAGAATGAGGCTGAAGTAGGAGTAATAGGTATTTGGTGTTGGACTTAGATTATTTAAGTTTGAACAAAGCAATCATTTACAAATATGGCAAGAAAGTAGTGCCTTCTCTTTACCTCTGTTCCAGGTTTTGTAGTGCTGTTGCTCCCCTCTCTTCATCATCAGATGTTCCTGGAGAAGAGATCCAGGACTCTAGGGGGATTTTGGTAAATGACACCCATGCTGATTGAAACAGTTTCTAATCAGCAATGATTGATTTAAGATTTTTCTGTGGCAGCTTCAAGACAAGAGGACTCAGGTATGGTGAATCTGCCTGATACTCACTGAAAGAAAAAGGAAGGAAAGAAAGAGGATTTCCTGGCAGATTTAAAATAAATGGGTTAGATAATTCAAGGCTAACCCCAAGTTAATATAACTGTATCTGAATACTAGATGGTGGGGTGGATATTGCAAAAATATCAAAGAAATGAGAGCAAATCTGTTCTTCTCTCTTTAAAATGACTTTTCAGTCAATTTGCTGAATAGGAAGAAGTATCGTAAATGATATTCTGTATCTCTGATTTACATTTTTTATAATATTAGGTAGGAGAAAAATGAGTCTGAGATGATGAAAATAAATCAATATGAACAAGTCAAAACATTTTAAATTAGAAAAAGTCATTTCATGTTGGCATGATTATTGGAAAAGGTAGGAGTTCTAGGGAAAAATAGGTGTGGACTAATGAGCTGAATAAACAGTGGGACCTGGATTTGTTTTAACCATATCTGCAACACATCATATCTATTTCTAGGAAGTCTCCATGGGCTTTAGGGGACAGGAAGATCCTGATCTGTGACAAATCGACTGGATGAAATTTTCAGGCTGAAGAGAGGTTGAATCCACAGAATCTTGGACAGTCTTTCATGAGCTCAGGCCTGCAATCATGACCCACTGAGTGGGCCATGGTGAATGCATTTTGAAAATGCATTCTACCTTCCCTTTTCCTCTTTATGACTTTGTGTATCACAAAAGCAGCTGCGAGCCAGAGGTAAGCCTCTGTAGTTTACTTGGCTTCCTTGGTTGTTAATGACTGCTCAGGTCTGCTCCATCCCTCCCAACTCTTGCCAGCTAAAAGATCTCTTGCCACCCTGGCAGGATTTGTAAACATATGCCCCAAACACTCAGGAGCATTGGAAGAACAACTTTTGGGGCAGTGGTTCTCCAGCTTTCTGTTAAACAAAAAGTTCTTTAACATTTGATTTCATTTCAGAATAACATTCTTACTTCATGATTCTACAATTGGTATAAGCTATAGTCTCTGGAAAGGCATTTCTTTAGGAAAGATGTTACTTATGATCATTAGGGGACTGAGTTAGAGTTTTATTTACTTTTTTAAATAGAGTTTTGTGCGTCTTATTCTTAAATTTAAAAAGTATCTTCAGAAGGCGCCATATCCATCCGCTCGGGCAGTCACTGCAAAAGTAGGGTAGACCTCATAGGTTGTATATGCTGCTAAGTCTTGTCCAAGCGTTACCGCTTGCTTGAGCTGGGCTGCAGACACAGGTGCAGTTGCATTAGGGACAGCATATCCTGGAGGAAGATGCAGAGAAAACTTCATGAAAGGAATTCACATTTGCTCCCTTTTGGCTTATTGTCTTTTTTTTAGCAATATGAATATTTAACATCTTGCTTAAAGCTAAAAGTTAATATATATATTTTTAAAAAGTGCCATTAGGGACACAATATGTTGACTCAGTGATTTTAAATGACACTTAAAAAGTCCTAGGACAAGGTTCCCAAAAGTGGGGTCAGCCACCTGTGCCAGAATCACTTTATACTTAAAAGATGCTTGGGATTGGGTCCAAGGAAGAGAAACTTAACAGAACGCTGAGTTGATTAAAGCTTGCGATTTATAACTATTTGAGGGCCTCTGAATTTATAAATGAGAAAGAGTGATTGAAGAGTTGGCTGGGCATGGTATGTGGGGAGGCAGGGCTCTGTTGGACAAGTTCTCCTGCAAGTCCACACCTGCCTCAATGAAACATTTAAAACATTTGCCTTTACCCAAGGAGATGTATAGAGACTAGGAGACAGTAGGAGAAATACTGTAAAGTTTAAATGTGATTCTCCATAATACCTTAGAAGCAAATGCCTAACCTGTCCATATTTAGATCTAACCATGAATGGCAAAAGCACCTTATTATCTCCTAAGCGCCTCATCAAGCCTGTGCTTGGTGTGTTCAGAGGCCCTGATGCTGGTTCTCCCCCTCAGAGAACCAAAGTGCCTGAGAATTAAAAAAATAATCTATGTGCTTTCATGTTAGCATTGTGATCTAGTAGATGAGCATTCAGTTTTGAAGAAGAAAGCATATTAGCTACTATTTTAAACATTATTTCTCTGTATCGTTTTAGTCTAAAACCTGAGTATTTCTGAGATGATCCAAAAATTGTAAAAGATAGCAAGAGAAAGAAAGAAGTATACTTAAGTACAAATAGGTACTTTTTTGTTGTTGTTGCTGTTGTCTTAAACCCCGTTTGGTTTATGTGTGGTAGAAGCCTGCCCAACCCCAGACACATTGATTTTTTTCTGGTGGCTTCTCAGAAAGTGGTGGCAGGAAGCTGGTTGGATTATTATGAACACAAATTGGATCCACTCGGAGCATTCACTTTGGTCAGTACTGCTGATTAATGCACTAGTGAAGTTTGGTCCATTTTCCAAGGATAGGAGACATGTGTTAACAGTTACTTTCATAAATTTGGAAACAGTATTTCTAAACTAAGTAAGTAACATAATTGTGTGAGTGTGTGCATGTGTGCATGCATGCATGCATGTGTTCATGGCACAGGTTTTACCTTCAGGGATTTTTAATTTTCTTTTTCAATTTGGTCAATTTGTTAAGTTCCAGGGTGTTTATGTTTCAAATCAATCCTTCCCTTGGTGCCTATTATTCTTTGCTTGACTCCACAGCAAAGTTATGAGAGGCTCTCAGATTCTTAGGCATTCCCAAGACAACGCTCATACCCCAAATATTTTTAACTTCTCACAGAAGCCAATAGAAATGAGAATAAGGTAAAACATTCTTGGGTAAAAGCAAATTCTTTCCAATGTGAAAGCAAACTTACTCTCCTGACAGTTGCTCTTTAGTTTTATAGTACATTTGTTACGTGTCTTTGGTTGCACCTTTCTGTAAGACAAGGACTCAATCTTCTCTAAGAACTGAGAAGCCCTGGCATGTATCCTGAGTAAATGGACATGTAAACATCCTGTTATGTGGAAAGCAAGCACCGGCTGCTGGCCCCACACTGCCCAGGAAGGACCTTGCCCTCTGTAGTGTCAGCTGTTTCCTTGGTAACCTCCAAGGGACTCACCACAGAGTGTTTCCAAGTTCTTACAGAGAAACAAAGCCAGGATTGAGGTCACTTTCAGATGTGAAACATCATTAGTGTCAGCCTTGTTTGCCAGAATGGAGGATTTGTTCACAAGTTTTGAGAAAAAACAAAACAAACAAACGAAAATTCATAACTGGCAGCAAGTCCCAGGTGCAGTGGCGTGAGGAACATAAAAGTTCTCACACCTCAACATGAGCAATATATGAATTAATTAATCAATTCTAGTTAAAAATCTAATTTGGACTTATGGGGCACATATTGACACAATGACAAGTCAGAATGACAGATTTCTTGAATAGAAATGAGCTTTTACTAAAAAAAAAAAAAAAAAATGGATAAAAAATTTTCAGTGAGAAAAAAGTTTCCTAAATAACTTTCTTGCCTGGTTCCCTTTAATCTCTAAAGGACTCATTTTTAATTATAAGCATTTGTTGTGGGTACATAATAAATGGGGACAAGTCTTTTAAATGTGACCTCTGAAGACATTGTTGATCTACAGATAGGCTTTGCTTTAAGCAATCAGCACATGCCACAGACCAATATTATAGAACAGATAAATTGAGTTGAGACCTGATTATTCACATATTGAAAAGATTTCTGTCTGTTCCTCACTCTCATACATACAATTTTTTACTTTAAAATCTTTTTGGAAATAAAATTAATAAAAGTAGATTGAAGATTGGAGAGGGAGAAGGATTGCTGAAAAGCTAATTGCCATTGGCCAAATTACTTAATCTTTCCATACTTGGGTTCTTCATCTGTATAATGGGCTTTCTAATGAAACCCAACTCTTGGTGGTGTCATGAGCATTAATCAGATATTATAATGCTTCCTGACCATTTAGGTGAATGTCTAGCGCACAGTAAGAGCTCCAATAAACATAATCTATCCATAGGCAGTCTCAAACTCTCTTACTAAAAGTAAAAACCAAAACAAACCAGACTTAGAGAGACAGACTCATTCAAGATCACACCACCATTTAAAGCTGGGCCGAGACCAGAACCCACTCTGCTGCCCAGCTTGATTTTCTTGCCTCGTGCTTTAGTGGGTCACTCATTTGGGAATCTCTTTTTGGTCCCAACGTGGTGCAAGTCAGATTGGTGTACGCAAACATTTCTATGGTTCCATGGTACCAAAAAAAATGGTTTCCCTAATACTCTCTGCAGGGTGCCAATTTTGACATAATTTCCCCATACCTGGAAAAGCAGCAGCAGCAGCAGCAGCAGCAGTCATGGTACCAGGATCGCCTCCATCAGTGGGGATGCCCAGGGTCTGCAGGGTGTATTCGGCTGCGTATGTCTTTGCTTCGTCCACATAGGCACTCAGTTTTGGAGGTGTGAAAGGGTGGCTGGAAAGCAAATCAGTCAGGGTAGGTATTTTTTAACTGGTACAGTTGAGTCAGGTGAAAACCTAAAGCACTATCAGCTTTGTTAGATGACTGGATGGTGGTATTTTGCATGAGTATTTTCATTCTGTTTGCTATTAAAGCTTCTAAATATAGGTTGCATGTAGGAATATTTACAAATTGATCTAGAACATCAATGGTTGATGACATTCCTGAGACATACAAGTAATTAACTACATGGCTTTTCTAAATCAAAAGTGAAAGAAATTGTTCCTAAAATATATAGAAATACAGGTTCAAGGTAAATTTCAGGAGGTGATATCCACTAACAGAGAGGTCATATATTTGGTCCAAAATTTAAATGATGGGATATTGTGTTATTATGTATAAAAATGGTAATGTCATATTATTCAACCTAAACACACAGATAAAAGAATGGACTATGGTTTTGTTTGTTTGTTTGAAATGGAGTCTTGCTCTGTTGCCTAGGCTGGAGTGCAGTGGCACAATCTCAACAACCTCCAGCTCCCAGGTTCAAGCGATTCTCCAGCCTCAGCCTCCCAGGTAACTGGGATTACAGGCGCCTGCCACCACAACCAGCTAATTTTTGTATTTTTAGTAGAGACAAGGTTTCACTATGTTGGCTAGGCTGGTCTTGAACTCCTGAATGCAAGTGATCTACCTGTCTTGGCCTCCCAAGGTGCTGGGATTATAGGCATGAGCCACCATACCCAGCCAAGAATGGGCTATAGTTTTTTATTTCTGTTGCATTTTACATTACTGACTGTTTTCCACTAGTTGGTGATACTACACAACCTTCACTGTGTATATGAAATTTGGGGGCCTTTATGTGCTGGTTTCATAGCTGGCACATCCCAACTACATACCTCAGTGTTTGCACTTAATGAAAAATGAGTAGGTGGTAGACCTGAGTATCTTGTTTAGATGGTGACTAAATGCACTTAATTTTTAGAAATGTGTCCTGCTCTAAAATCAAAATGGTAAGGAATTTGGAGAAGTTACACACATTGCAGGATTCTGGCTGGCTAGAGCAGGAATGGTTATTTTGTATAAGAAGAGCTGTCTCTGGTCTTGTCCAATAGCAGAATGCAGCTGGTACACTGGCTGTCCCCAGTTATTTTTCTGACAAATCTCTTCTAATATCTATAAGAATAAAAAAAAATGTTATTTCCCCCTTAAATGACATATTCACATTATTTCCCAAGTTTTCAGGTTTTTAAACACTAATCTTCAGAGTTCAAGCTAATATCAGAAGATATAAAATGCCACATAGTTTAATGACTCATAAAATTTAAGATGAACTCAATTTGAACTCCGTTAAAAATGTTAGGTCTATCAGTTCATAAAAATCACTTTCACACCATTTACTGTAATATGTTTTTAGTTTAGTCCTTCAGCTGTAACTTTTTACCAAAAGCTTACTTTTATGATTTGTTTGATATATTTGTTTTTCTAAAAAAATTGTTGCTCCAATACTGTGTGTATAGATTTACTCATTGTTACCCTCAATCTCTGGGTTTATAATGATTTAGAGATGATAACCTAAGAATATATTTTTCTTTCATGTCATTTGTCACAAGGTTTTAATCTCACAATTTTATAAAAGTAGAATTGAAAAGTTTAATGGATTGGAATTTATTGAGCATTCCTAGATGGGAGTTGACAATTGCGATGTTTTTATTTGCTTGGTAAGACACTACTTCTGGCTTTTTTATCTTCTTAATGACAATATGCTTTTTAGCATACTCCTGTATGTTTTTCTCTTCTGTAATTACTCCAAACTGAATATTTTCTAAAGATTCATAGTTTCTTTATTCTGAAGCCATTTTTGGTTGTCCAGAGGTCTTGATGCTCTCTTTAGTCAGCAGATTTAGTAGACTGTGCAAAACAGGGCATCAGGCTGAGAAAATAACTATAAGACAGAACAATGCCCCAGGATGGGTCTCTGGGGTTTCTTAATTTGTGCTAATGAACCCAGCTGCAATAGCATGACATTTTCCAGTTTATTAATTTGTAGATTGTTCCTATTTTCCCTATTGACATTTTCTTTTTAATACTCTTGTTGCGTAGTATCTCTTGTCATCCTCAGAGCATTCTCTACAGTTCTTGGGCAATAATAAAGGAGCTTTTTCTGGTAGATATTATGCCTGCCTGTTCATGCCAGGTGAGCAAACCCTGGTGGAAGGAGCGCCAGCTCTCACTGCTGACTTTGTAGGGCAGTGCTTGTCTTTCTGTTTCTGGCTGGAAGTTTGTAACTCTACTTTGGGGTTGTTTAGACCCCATCTATATTGGTGGTGGCATGGTCTTCATTTCTAAACTCTAGTTGTAGAATTTCAGAGGCAAATTAAAGAACTTTTATTAATTGATAGAGATTATTACCCACATATTAATATAAGACATGATGAATTTCTAGCTTGAGTTTAATGTAAAACAAAGAGATCTCTTTTTATATTATAGCAGCACTCAGAATTACTGTTATACAGAATTTGTGACTATTTTTTTTATTTTCTGAAAAGATTTATAAGTATTTCAGTACTTGAATCAGGTTCTTTGTTTTGGGTTTTAACCCAAGAGCAAGTGGATGACTAGCTTTTGTATTTTCTGAACAAACTTCATCATATCACTTACCAGATTTCATTATATGTTTACATGTCAGTTTTTTTCCCACTGAATTGCCACCTAATTTTTGATAAGAGGGATTTTGTTATATTCACTTCTACGTCTCCAGCACCTAGTGCACTACAGGGTGCATAAGAGAAGCTTACTAAATCTTTTGTGAACAAACAAATGATTGCTGTTTAGCACTCTGATAGGCATTCTTTTTGTTTTTTAATTGCCTGGGTAGGGTTAGCAGAATCCTTAGATAAACTAATTTGTAGATAAAAGACAGCCAGAAATCCCATAATACAATTACCCAAGATGAGCTTTTAGAAAATCACATTTTATTCTTGATGAAACTTATAAGGGCTCCTACCGTACATGTGGGGCTTATACCTTTGGCATGGGAGTAGGGAAGTTTCCTTGAAGATACACAAACTGTAACTCTGGTTATTCAGCCAAAATGTATTTCAGAGAGATCAGCACCTGTAACACTCCCACAGGGAACAGTCTCAGGGTTGGCATAGACCCTGATTTGTTTTATTTTTAACCCTGGGAGTCAGTTTCCATATTGAAACTTTTATAAATTTTAATTTTCCAATAATAAAAACCACAGGCTAATTCTGAAGTATGGAAACTTAGAACTGTTAAATAAACACAATAAAAATTCGCTGTAATGGCACTGCCCAAATATAACTATTGAGGAAGAGTTAATTTGGTATGACTGATGACATCTCGTAGTTAACCTAGATATTCACCTAGATATCATGGTGGAGTTTTCCGTTAGATACACTATTTCCAAGAAAAGATGTCCTAAATGGTCTATTCAGGGCCCTGCCATAATACTCTTCATTTGACAAACAACCTGGCTCACACACAATAGGCATTTATTCTGACATGGGGTCTTTGCCTCATTTTATTTTCATATAGGTTATTGGCTGATAATTCTTTTTTTTTTTGAGACGGAGTTTCGCTCTTGTTACCCAGGCTGGAGTGCAATGGCGTGATCTCGGCTCACCGCAACCTCCGCCTCCTGGGTTCAGGCAATTCTCCTGCCTCAGCCTCCTGAGTAGCTGGGATTACAGGCACGCACCACCATGCCCAGCTAATTTTTTGTATTTTTAGTAGAGATGGGGTTTCACCTTGTTGACCAGGATGGTCTCGATCTCTTGACCTCGTGATCCACCCGCCTCGGCCTCCCACAGTGCTGGGATTACAGGCTTGAGCCACCGCACCCGGTGGCTGATAATTCTTAATAGCTCTAAGGTTCTTTGCATTTCAGTGGAATATTGTTCAAAGTGTTAAACTTAATGGTTTTAAAAAAAGAGTAAGGGCCTATAATCGAATGATGGCATCCAATGTTCAGCATTCGTTCAAAGTGTGTCACGTTAATTGGATGTTTTATACATTAAAAGAAAAAAAAACCCATAGCTTGGGTAGGGATCAAGTCAAATAATTTGATAAAAGTGAATAATGCTTATTGGCACAACTAAAAGAAACTATTTCTGGAATAACATTACCTACCTGGGGAGCGAGTTTAATTCCTTGGGGTTTTAACGCGACAGGATTCATTGGGGTGAGCTCCATCCCAGGTAAAATGTCATAGAGTTTGTCTTCTCTCTTGTCTCCTTTGACCTGGTATCCTCGACCCAGGCCTGTGTATGCCAAATAGCCGCGGCCGCCCAGTCCTCTCACTCCCGCAGCCCCTACAGGTACATTCATGTAAATTTCTAGGAATGTAAGAAGGCATTAAACTGAATCAAACCACCAGAAAATCACCCTGAATCTTACTGTAATGGAAAAGTTAGCCCAATTCATGGTGATTATTGCCCTGAAGATGGGTGGGAAACTCTAGGATTCTAATGTAATGAAACTCAACATAAGGTAAGGTTTAACATAGATGTCTCCCTCTTTTTTAAAAAAACCTTCAGAAGAAAGCAATACCATTGATAAGTACAATACTACTGATAAGTACACAAGCAACTTAAAAGTTTTGGTAGAGAAATTTTACAATTTTTGTCTTTAGGTAAACTTTTCTTGACATTTTCTATAGACTAATAAAGACTGGAAATGTATTTATTACAACATTCCAATATAATTCAACCACTTGTTTTAAAATCAGTCTTGCTTCGAGACTGTCAGTGATCAGTATATCAGAAATAAATTCCGGTTTCCCTAATTATCCCACCTCCAATGACTTATTGGAAAATAAACATTTAAAAGCATGCTTTTAAGTTCATCATCCTCTCTTATGTTCCGTCAATGTGATGCTTAAATTTCCATTGAGTTTCATGCATAGATTCCTTTTGATTTTTGTTTTGCCATGTTGATACTTTGATTATCTATTGGTGGCATAGAGATAAAAATTAAATTGATTTCCCTTCATCCATGAATATTATTCATTGATTCTTGTTATAAGATAGACATTTTTTCCCTTTTACTGGAGTTTGTTTTTTTCTACATCATAACTGGTTGACAATTTGCATTCAATGTATGGATTGGTTAATGATGTGATTTTACAGTATAAATGCATAATATTTCAATGATATAATTTATCATCACATAAACAAGTTATCCTAAAGGAAATCCTGATTATTTCATTTGCATTACAATTTTGGGCAAAATAATTATGAGTATGAAACTTTTAAGGCTGTTGAAGACTAGAGCTCCTAGGATGATCAATTCAGTTCCTCTGAAAAATAGTAAAACGTAGTAAGATAAGTGTTTCCACAGTAATCTAGATGTGCCTCTTTGCTTCTAAGTCAAACCCCAAAATAGACCTAAATACACAGTTTGTTTATTGAATTGCCCAGATTCATGTCATATTTGGAAGATAGAACTGGGATTCAGCTGGCATTAGCCACATCCTAGAAAAACTAATCTGAAGGAACCCAAAACACAGGGATAAGCTAGTTTCTTGGAAATAAAATAAAGGCTTTCTTTATCTTCTAGCTTCCTTGAAGAAATGAAGCTTGAAAAACTGCTCAAACATTTAGAATTCTTACAGGATTCAAATGTGAAATATTTATTGTTTTATTAGCAGTCCAATTGAGGGTTCTTTTTTCTATTCAGCGTTTATTTAGTTCTCCATGTACTAAAGAAATATAGTGATTTCTTTAATAGTTTGGCTTTTAAGAAAGTATAACACATATTTCTTGGAGGAGGTCAGATGAGAACATCTCATATGTCTGTTATATCTGTTATTATTTGTGATTTATATGTTAAGATGATGTCACTGAGTCACCATAAAATACACACATGCCTTGAAAGATTTTTGCTTTGAGGAAGTTGGTTTCCACTGGACTACACTTGTCTATCCCAGAAGTGTTGTAATGAGCCACAGATGACTGCACAATAGTGGACAAGTGATACAGAGGAAGCTAACAATTATGGAACTAGGTTTTAGTTTGTGCAAATTTTGTGAGTACATGCAAAGTTTGAATTTGTGCACTAGGCTCATTTGCACAATGTTCTGACCACATTTTTTCAATAACCAGTTGTAATGTAAAAAAGACTCCTATTAAAGGGAAACTATTGATATAATACTTGATTTTTAATAAACAATTTTTCAGTGCTTTTCACCCAGTGGACCCATCAAATGTATCTAAGGCTACTGCAGTACGAATCATTTGAAATCTTGGGATTACTCTAAAGCAAGATCCAACTGGTGTTACCTCTAACAGAAGGTGCTCGGATAATGGCTCTGTTGCTGAGGTGTCCTTTGGTGGCTGGGAAATGAAGACTGGGAATTGCTGCATAGGCCTGGGGGGCATAGAAGACAGGAGCTCCAAGGTAGGTTGTGGTGGGATCATAAACTTGGCCCAAAGAGTAGGTATACTCTCCTTGAAGCATGGTACCCCTTCCACCTGTGCCTCGGGTGTACCTAACATAACTGTCCTTGTCCACTGGTTTTGCCAGGGTCACTTCAATGGGGGAACCATCCAGCACCTGTTGTAGGTAACAAAGAAAAATCAACATGAGATGATATGAAGACAACCAGGTGTAGCTGAGCCCTAATAACGTGACTACTTTCAAGTGTTAGACTATTTGCCGTAGGCTTACTGATTGTATCTTGTCACGTTATAGGTTTGTGTTTGTACACCTGTTGAATTTTCACTGAGCAATTTGTTGGTAAGTTGCATAAAATGCCAACAGGTTTGACAGTAACACTGGCCAGCATCTATTGACATATTCATTATAAAGTTACAATCTGGTTACAGACAGTGAGACAGAAAGTTATGTAATATTTCTATTATGTCATATATGTTTTAAATTACATGTTTATATAATTATACAACTACAAGAAAATTGAGGTTTGTTATGGATGGTATAAAATCTCCATTACCTAGTACAAGAAAATGAAAGGAAACCAATAATGAGATCTTATCAATTATTAGCATTTAGCATTGGCAGCCAAGTCAGGCCCTTCCAGCTGATAGCCAGCTAAATGTCATGCTCCTTAAAGCAGCCACACAAGTTTTCACTGGGGAAGAAGAGAGGCATAGTGTGGCCCTACCACAGGAAGAGGAATCTGGGAGGCTGTTGCATTGCCTGCCACAAGTTCTTTCTCGTGAAGCCACCTTTGGATCTGCTGAACAGTTGGGAGCTAATAAACAGGGATGACGGGGTCAGGGGTAATTGGGAGTGAGAGTAATATTGAGGTTCTCAGATCATGCACCCCTTAATACTTGTCCTCAAGAATTATTGACACAAGTTTTGAAATTGCACACAGCTGCAGATGTCGAGGATAATGGATGTATGCAGATCTACAAGTGCAAATATCTTTTATGTACTGCTTGCCTACACAAGAAACAAGTGGCTCTCAACAAAAGTAGCCTAGCTACTTCTTGCAAAGAGATCTGCTCTACACAATTCTCTCCACTTTCAGGATTCCTGTTAATTCTCCAGCCCTGTACCTTTGCCTCCAGAATGCTGTGAACCCCAGATTCTGGTATTCTCTTTTGATTTCTGTAGTCCCCACACACACTTTTGTAATTAATTCCTTTGCTGTTTGTTTTCTTTTGGGACCCTGACTGATACCAGACCCCATGGGTAAAACAGTCCTACATATATTATGTTCCAACTAAGTTACTCTATATTTTTCTGTTCTGCAATTTTTTCTTGCTCTTCTCAAATGCTGTGCCTCTGTCTAAGACTGTTAGTCTTTCCATATTTTGATGTTTGAAGTTCTACCCAATTTTCATGTCTTCTCTTAAGTATTTTCATTTCATATTCATGAAGATGTTTTATTCTTTATGGCCCACTTCTTCCTTTGAACTTTCTCACCATGTTTATCTCTTTTTATGATATTTACTTGCCTGTACTTTGCATGTGTTTGTGTAGTTGTCTTATTCTTCCAACAGACTTTTAACTCTTTGCCAAACATCTATGATTCTTTTTGTATCCTAGCATGATAAGCGATCTACAGAAGGTTTTAAATGTTTATTGGCTTGATATATAAATATATTGGTTTCTATATACAACTCAGTAGCGAGGATAGAGAAGCTTCCCCAGCCCTTACTCTTGGCAAGGTGAGAGATTCTAAGCTTTCTAAGTTGGAAGATCAAACTATGAAGGCAGAATAACAGCTATCTTGACATCTTTTTAAATCATCAGCTTCTAAAATACTGCACTAAAATGATGATAATCTTTTTGAAATAACGAGAGGAAATTGGAATTACGAAAGACACCTTGAAATAATCTACCTCAATTTCCTCTTTCCATACAAATTGAGGGCCAGTGACTTGTCTAAATTAGAAAAAAAAAATAAAAGTAAAGTTGGATATATTAGGTACATCTCCATTTTCCGTTTCTCTTTAGTACATTCTCTTTAGTACATCTTAAACAGACTAAGGCAGCCATGTCAGAGAAAGCTGGAGTGAAACAGACTTGCAGGACTGCACTTTTCAATGTAATATCCACACCAAACTTGGATGGAATCTACATATTTTTTCTTTGTTCTACCTTACCTTCCCATTTAAAGCTTTCATAGCCTCAACTGCATCTTCTCGGTTACTGAAGTGCACAAAAGCATAGTCTCGAATTTTCTTCACCCTTTCCACAGCACCTGTAAAATAGAGTGAAGGTTGCCCCATTAACAAACTTAAGACAGCCCTGAAAATGATATATTTTAGCACCTAGCTTCCAAGAGAATTTGATTTCTTTTTAATGGAGACCTTATATTTAAGTAAGGATCTCATCAAGAACATTCAACAGAAGGTTTTGTTTGCAATCTTTAAAATAAAATGTATATTCTGACTTAACATAATTTATTATGGATTTATGTTTTCTACTTCCTAGTTTATTAGATCTCTAAGGGTGGGAATTGCATCTTCCTTTGCATCTTATGTAATGTAAAAGATAGTACCTTATGCATGGTAAAATATTTGTTGAATTGAGTTGAATTCAATTATTGGTCATTTTACAAACATATATTTAGGTGATTACCTTTTAAAATTTTCTGTTTTTCACCCCAGCAAAATGTCTTTATCTCTTTTATAATTAACTTATGTAATTAACTTTAATTTAAAACTTAAATGTTAGGTAACTACAGTTCTGACAAGGCAACTGAAATTTATGAGTTCACACAGAGAGGAGCTACAACCAGATTTCCTATACCCTTATCCAATACTCTTTAAATTAAAAAGCAAAAAAAGAAAAAGAAAGTTGTTTGTGAAAGAACATCAGGAAACCAAGATAAGTTGCCTGCCTTGCTGTCATGATAGGTAAAGACTAGAAACAATGCAGTTATCTACTATTCTGCTTTCAGGAATGTCCCATACAGCAACACTCACACACATCTAAAAGGATCACGCACAAGAATATCAATTACACTATTGTTGAAAGAGCAAAAATAAAACAATTTAATGTCTATTTTCACAAGTGATTAAATCTGCTACATTTATACCAACACCAAGGAGTATCTGTAAAGAAAACAAAACTAGACCTGTATGTGATCACATGGAAAGTTTAAAGACCTATTGTTAAATTTTAAAAAGTTGTAAAAGAATAAGTACAATATTATAGCATTTGTATTTTTAGTAATCCAAAACCATATATATGTGCACACAAATATAAATACACTCACACAGAAAGCAAACTGAAAAGATAGAGACCAAACTCTTAGCAGGGGTTACTTCAGGAATGGGGAGAAAAGTTGGGGAGAATGACAGGCATTTTCATATTTTAATGATATATTTGGTATTTTACAAATATTTGCAAAGTTTATTTAAATTATTTGTATAGAAAACCCAAACAAAACAACAATCTATTTTTATATAAAGGAACTGCCGAACATGATGGCAACATATAAAAATGAAAAAGGTAGTTGTACCAAGATAGTTGGATGTTATATTTTTAAAATGTGGTTGCTTATTCCATTTTAAAAGTAGATGTTTTGCTTAGAGTGAAGGTAAGGTGGAAAATTGTTTAACCATATTAGTTTAGCATGCCAATTGTCTTCTTTTAGCCTACACTCACTTGGGTGTACCTTGAGTGTCCAGGGAGACAACACAGGATGAGGCATTACGCCAGGGAAAAGAAGAGGAAGAAGTCCTCTCCTTTCTGTCTCTATCAAAGTTTCATTATCCTCTTAGATTCAAGATAACAAAGGTAATTAGAGTATTTACTCTCCCATATGGTTCAATGACTAAGAATTACCTTCCTTTGGAATAATAGTTGGCCTGTAACATAAAGACATTGTGATACTTCTCTTTTCACTCCCTTCAACATTCGACCCTTGGTTTCTCATGGCAATGGTTATACAGAGCAAAATTGTCTGGCCAGGCTAAGGATAACAAAGCTCTCTGAGATCATGAAGCATGGGACATATAATTAATTGAATTTTCAATATAGTCTCTTTATTCCCTTCAGTGTCACGTGGGGTGATGATTGGGACTCAATCCCATGACTTGTTTTAGTAATTGAGAAGTAAGAGGTTGGCCAATGATGACCTTCATCTTTCCAGTATTTGCTCTGTTCATATTTCAATGTCATTCTCCACCTAGGCTCCCTGGCCTGTTATCTCCCTGAGAGCAGGACCTGTTTCAGAGACTTCTTAGTATCATCTTTACCCAGTTCCTGCTTACTGCCTTGGACACAGAAGCTACTCAATAAATACACATGGAATAAGGGAATGTTATCAGTCAATTCACACTGTAACTTCTGTCATCTACACCAGTTAGGTGGCATTTCAGATGATAATTAATTTAGGTTTTCTGAAATTCTGTTTGCAGATATTTAAAATTATCTTGCACTGTTGAATGATAATTTCCAGATGCATCTGGTTTTGGAAAATTTGATATTTAAAAATGTAGCCTCATAAAACAGACAAGTTAAAAAGTTAGAGTTTGTATCCTAAAAGCTGGTTTTCTCTACAACAGTATTCACCACATGGCTTATTTTAATATGTTTCTTCTTTAGTGCATAGAAGTTTGTTTAATGATTGATCCTCATTTGGCAGAGGGTGAGTCCATAGAATATGAATGATTATTACTACTAAATCATCCATTAGCAAAGAAAAAGATCCTCTGAAATCATGATGGAAGGAATTGGAAAATTATTGCTGTGTTTATTATTGACTTGTCAGCAACACATCAACGTGAGGAGAAACACACCTGCATGCCAAAGGGGAGGTTATCAGAGGGTCATGGTTACCCAAGTGTGGTCCCCTGACCAGCAGAGTCAGCTTGGTCTTGAAACTTAATAGAAATTCAAATGCTTGAACCCACCCCCTAGAGGGAAAGCAGTCAGTGATTTAACTTGACCTTCAGGTTATTCTAATACTGCGAAACTCTTGTAGGAAAATCAGATCTTGTGGAATGACTATAACTGGAAATCCAGCCAATACCCTTCAGCTACAGTGGGGAAGAACAAACCATCTTCAGGTACCAATTTTTGTTCTAATTATCATTTGCATCTCTGAGTGGCAAGATAGTATTATTCAAGTTATAAATGGTTAAAATGATACATGGTCACATATTTTGAGGGAATATGCAGGTTCCTCTGAGGAACCTAAACTTTAAACGGAATTTTTAAAGAGCAATTTTCCTGTTTCTTTCCACAATTTTTTCTAGATGAGTATAGCCTTGGCACAATACATACTTTCCAAGATAAAATGAACTAGTTAGCTCTGAGTTTTCCCTCTCAAGGCAGCAGATGTCTGCTAGGTGTTCAGCTCCTGCAATTCATATTTATTTTTGCAGAGGGCCAGGAAGAACAAGCCACACATCACTACATAGCCCTGAGAGTTGTGCCACCAGCTGCAGACTGTGCCCTGAACTTGCTGGACACATTTTAGTCCCAAGAGGAAAGAGAGAGTGAGAGAAAGACTGAGAGAGCAAGAGGCTGTGTGTGTGTATGTGTGTGTGTGTGTGTGTGTGTGAGACAGAGAGAGAGAGAGAGAGAGAGAGAGAGAGAGAGAAAGGATGTTATTTTCGATAATTAGTAGGATCTAAGCACACATGTCTCTTCAATATATCCCAATACGCAGACTGGGAAAGCTGAAGCTGATAACCAGGTACTAGGAAAGGAAGCAGCCTTTTAGTAGTTTCTCATTCTAGCCCTTTGCAAAAAAAGGTGCTGTTTTAATTAGATAAAAATAAGAAGTATTATTCACTCTGGGAAGGTAGAAAGTCAACATGGAATGAGGGAGGATAGTGAGTAATATTTATACACACACATATTGGTTCCTATGCCTACAACTACATCAACATTCAGACCTCAGCTTAGATGTCACTTCCAAACACAAGTCTTCTCTGCACTCCAGTAGTAGCCTGTCTAAGCTGTGATTTTTCTGGATTTCTTAAACTTTTTCCATGCATATATCATAGCTGTTGGTTCCTTCCACAGTGCCTCACACATAGGAGCTGCTGAAGGAAAGACAGTTGAATGAATGAGTGAGTGAATGGAATAAGGTTGGGCATGAGAGTATTAAAGTTGTTAAGTACATGCCCTTTACCAGACCTGGGTTCAAATTCAGGATCTGCCACCTGCTAGCTGTGTGACCCTGGGCAAACTACTTAACTGCTCTGGGTTCTGGTTTTCTTATCTAGAAAGTAAAGGAACAAATACAGCAACCTGCATTATAGAGTTGTGATGAATAAATGACAAATGCTGTGAAAGTGCCCACTACAATGCTTGCCACACAGTGAGGTGGTCCATCATTAGCAGTTTCTAGCTTAGTCATGGATTCACAGCTGTTGGTGTGGAGTCACACTATCACACTAATATTTCAGGGAAGGCAGAGTTCCTGAGGCTGGAGAAAGATCTTTGGAGAATCTTTCAAAATGGAGCAGTCACATCCTTACTGAATACCTTTAGAGCAAATCATCAGCTGATCATTCTGTTATATTTGAGATAGCATCCAGAGTTGGAAACAGACAATGCTAGTATGTGCAAGTAAATATTCTCAGGCAGTTTTAACATGCAGCACCATGACCCATGCTTATTAACAACCTAGGGAATTTGCCAGGAGACTGGGAAATACTTAGTTATAAAAGGATATTACTACTATGATAACCCTAAGCCACTACATCCCAGAGTGTGTTTAAAGACACAGTAATCCCACAAGATGATCTGCCAATAAAGAACATCCATGTTTCAGAAATTTGAAAAATGAAGCTTTCTGTATCTCTTCTTGGAGAATTTCAAAGGATGTTAGAAGGCTAAAGACTTTAATAAGTTCCATAATGAAGAAATTAATTTAATTTTGCAGAATATGTTGTTGACAAGCTGATTTGACCATGGAGCCCTTTTATCAGTAACATCTACTAAAAGACTGTAGAATTAATGTTCTGAACTGGGTTTGGGAAATGGTAATTTGGACATTGTTCTTGAAATGTTCTACCTCCCTCAGCATTGTAGCTCCTATATGGAGAAGAAAGAGACAGGGAGTCAATCTGATGGCTTAGAATTGATACTGAAAAATATTGACAAGATGAGTATCAACTAATAATCCCCTTCCACCTTCCCTCTATTCCTTTCCCTTCTTCTTCACTCAAATCAGTTTCCTAGGATTGCCACCTTTTTTCTTATGTCACAAGCATATCCCATTAGGCCAGTGGTTCTAAACTGGGGGCAGTTTTGCCCACCCATGGGGTATACTTTTCAAAGTCTGAAGCTATTTTTGGTTGTTGCATCTTGGAGGTTTCTACTCGTATCTAACAGGGATGGCCTTGAGATGCTGCTAAACATCCTACAATCCACTGGACAGACCCTCACAACCAAGAATGATCTGTTCCAAAATATTAATAGTTAAGGTTGAGAAACCCTGTATCAGACCTACAGTTATGTCACTCATTAATTATTATGGTAAATACTTATTGGGCAATTATTGTACCCTAGGCCCAGAAACTAAATGTCTGAGGACAGAGGAAAGGCTAAGAGGCAGGAAAAATTCATGAAATTTATAGTTTAGTGAAGAAAATATGTATTCATTAAATAATCACACAGATAACTATATAATTATTATATTGATAAATATTATGGGATCATATGGTTGATTTTTTAATCCAAAGTTAGGAATCTAGTATGAAAGGTGTGCATGCAATTATGAGATGAGCTAAATAAAAGCATTCTATTTGAAGTTATGGGATGTCGTCTCAAGCATAGGTGCTTTTAAAAAATGTTTTGAAAAGATAATCTTATATATATGTCCTACCTGGTTTGATATTGTTGAATTCCTTTTCAATCATCTCCTCAGAGGTAGACAGCATAAGATTTCTTACATATAGGATTTTCACTGAAGACATTGTATCTTCATCAACTTCTACTTCTGGTTCTGCCCAGTCTACTGCAATAGGATGTCCCCATAACTGAATTCTTCCTGTTGAAAATGATTACAATTATGATTAATTATGTAGAAATCAGGACAACATCATCTCAGTTTATACTGATGGTCTTTTAAATTGACCTGACACTTGAGGTCTTGAATGAGCAAGATGACCATTGAAATTGGTGAGTACTGATCTTAAGAGACATTCCAAATAAATATAGTAGCTGACTAGAAGGGAGTCCTGTGTGACCAGTGGCTTGTTAAACTTTATATTGATTATAAAGGAACCAGGATGTGGTTTGAGGTTGAAGAGAAATGAGGCAACGAAGAGCACATTTGACTCTGAGAACAGCACTCATTGGGTGGAGGTAGTCACTTAAGGTAAGATAGCAAAAGGGAGAAAGAAAAAGTATGAATTTAGGGCCTAGACATAGAGTCTGACTCCACAGAACATTAAAAAGGTTACCAGGAAGAGTGTTTACTGCTGTTGGAATCTGTGTTGTTAACTAGTCTGGGTACCACAATTGAGATGTTCAAAAAATGATGCTTGGGCAAAGGTGGGTGGGGCTCAGCCATCCTTAGTTTGTTCTCTGTCCCTTATACTTGGTCAAGGCTTAGAACAGCTGTGTTCCCTCTTAATCCTCTTTTACAACATCAATAAATCGGGAATCTGGAGACATTTTTTTAATCCTAATTAAGAAGACAGATGATGAACAATGAAGTGTCTATGATGAGAAATTTAACTCTTCTGAAAAGGGTAGTTGTTCTCCCTGGCTACATATATTTTTGTATTCCTATAAATACAATTTATTGAGTGTCTTGTACTATACCATGTGTTTCCAACTCATGTACAATCTCAATTCCTTCTCACAGTAACCCTGTGGGGAGGTGAATGGCTCCCAATTTTACAGAATGGGAAATGAGCTATAGAGAGGATAGCTTTCCCAGACCTGTTCTACTTAACCACCTCTCCCTTTTTTGTTTTTGTTTTTATTTTGTATTGTTTCTTGGTGACTCTGCTCCTGCACCCCAACACAGTGCAGATCCTGTCAAAGTGATGAGAGGAGGGTGAGAGTCAACCCAAGTTCTAAATTTGATAGGAAATCTAGTTTGTTTTTCATTCATTGTTTGGGAATAAACTTTATCCTGTAAGCAATACAAATCTTGAGAGAACAAAATCAGGAATTCTCAGTGTTGATAAGGGTTTCGTTGTTTAATTATTACTCATGGGAAGCAATTATTTTCAATCAGAATGCATCTTTATATTGCTTGAAAAGCAGTCAGTGAAAGCATCTGTGGTACTGGCATTCTAAAACCCAAATGAAGAATAGGCATGTCTTAAGAGATAACGGACCCTAGAGAAGCTGGCTCTTGTTACTCTAGCTGTGACTATCTTGTTCTGTATCGGATTCCAGGGGATAGTTTTCCTCATTACTCTCTTCCCTTCCCCTTCTAGGCTTTACATAGATTTTTCATTTGTATTATCCCAAGATCCCCAAGGCTCCTAGTTAACTCTGGTTTTTGTAGTTCAGTAGTTCTCAGCCTTGGCCCCATAATAGATAAAGTCTAAAAAATAATGAAACCTGGGTTCCACCCAATGCTGTACTGGAGCTGGTTCCTATCTACTTGCAAAAATAGATTATTAAGTTTTTGCATTTTTACTTACCAGCTTTATTAAGGTATAATTGATTAATCAAAATTGCCTCTATTTATGGTATACAACATGATGTTTTGATATATGTATACATTGTAAAAGGATTAAATGAAACTAATTAACATATCCATCATCTCACATACATTTTTTCAGTGGTGATAACATTTAAGATTTACTTTCTTAGCAATTTTCAAGTATACAAATATGTTAACTATAGTCATATTATACAATAGATTTCCAGAAATTATTCATTTTAATGGAAACTTTGTATCATTTGACCAATATCTTCCCCGTACCTCTGCCCTCAGCCCTGGTAAACACCATTCTGCACTTTGCTTATATGAATTCAACTTTTTAGATTCCACATATAAATGAGGTCATGCCATATTTGTCTTTCTGTGCCTGGCTTATTTCACTTAATATAATGTCCTCCAGGTTCATCCATGTTGTTGCAAATGATAGAATTTTCTTCTATATAAAGGCTGAATAGTATTTCATTGTAACTAATAAATGAGCTCAGTACAGCTGCAAAATACAAAACCAACATATATAAATAAGTAGCCTTTCTATATATTAATAACAAGAAATCAAGGAAACTGAAAAAAATCAAGAAAACAATCTCATTTATAATATCATCCCACAAGAAAATACTTAGAAATAAATTTAACCAAGAAGGTGAAAGATATGTATAATTAAAAACTATAAAATATTGATAAAAAATTAAAGAAACCAATAAATAGAAAAATGTCCTATGTTCATGGATTGGAGGCATTATTATTTTTAAGTTTCATGCTATCCAAAGCAATCTACAGATTCAATGAAATCTTTATTGAAATTCCAGTGATATTTTTCAGAGAAATATTTCAGAGAATATTAAGACAATCCTAAAATTTGTATGGGACCACAAAGGATCCTAGCCAAAGCAATCTGAACAAAAAGAACAAAGCTGGGATCATCACACTACTTGATTTCAAAATATACTACAAAGCAATAGTAATTGAAACACTATGATACCGGCATAAAAACAGATAAGACATTTATGCCGATGAGACAAAATAGAGTCCAGAAGTAAATCCACACATTTATGGTCAATTGTTCTTTGACAAAGGTGCCAAAAATACACAACTGGGAAGAAACAGCCTCTTTAACAAACTGGCATAAGGAAAACTGGATATCCATATGTAGAAGAATGAAGTGAGACCCTTATCTTACAACATACACAAAAGTGAAGTTAAAATGGAATAAAGACTTAAATGTAAGACCTGAAACTATAAAACTACTAGAAAAAAACATAAAGAAAAGTTTCTTGACATTGGTCTGGGCAATAATTTTTTGGCTATAACCCCCAAAGCACAGGCAACGAAAGCAAAAATAGATGAATGGGATTGCATCAAACTAAAGTTTCTTCACAGCAAAGGAAACAATCAATGAAGTGAATAGATAACCTAAGGAATGGGAGAAAATATTTACAAAGCATATATTCAGTAAGGAGTTAATATCCCAAATATATAAGGAACTCAATCAATAGTAGGAAAACAAATAACCCAATTAAAAATGCACAAAAGCCTGGGCACAGTGGCTCAAGCCTGTAATCCCAGCACTTTGGGAGGCTGAGATGGGCAGATCACCTGTCCGAGACCAGCCTGACTAACATGGAGAAACCCTGTCTCTACTAAAAATACAAAATTAGTTGGGCATGGTGGCGCATGCCTGTAATCCCAGCTACTCAGGAGGTTGAGGCAGGAGAATCACTTGAGCCCAGGAAGTGGAGGTTGCAGTGAGCTGAGATTATGCCACTGCACTCTAGCCTGAGCAACAAGAGCGAAATTTAATTTCAAATTACAAAAGAAATTGGCAAAGGATTTGAATAGACCTACCTCAAAAGAAGAAATATAAATGGCCAACAAGTATATGAAAAAATGCTCAACCCTAATCATCAGGGAAATATAAATCAAAAAGAAAATGAGTTATCACCTCAACCTGGTAGAATGGCCATTATCAAAAATATCAAAGATAACAATGTTGGCCAGGATTTGGAGAAACAGAAATACTTGCACACTGTTGGTAGTAGCATAAGTTGGTACAGCCATTATGAAAAATAATATGCAGATTCTCCCAAAAAGTAAAAATAGAGCTACCATATGATCCTCCAATTGCTGTACTGGGTTTATATTCCCCCCAAATGAAATCATTATGTTAAAGAGATATCTGTATACCCATGTTTATTGAAGCATTATTCACAAACATCACAATATGGAATCATCCTAAATGTTCATCAACAGATAAATGAATAAAAAAAGCATCAGAATTTTGTGAGCCAATTGAAGTCACATTGGTAGCTTGAAATCGGCGACAGTGGGAGTGTTAATACCATGGAAGTTGGCAAATACTACAAATCAGGGCTTTTGGTTTTTCCCCTGGGAGCTGGCTGTTAAAGATTTACCAGCTCATTACTGACCTCTGGACTGCCCCTCCCAATTCTGATATAAGTGGGCTGGATCTCGGGATTTTAAAAAGTAGCTCAGTTAATTTTAAAATGCAGCCACAGTTGAGTACTACTGCTCTAGCTTTATTCTTCTAAGCCTAGGACCATGAAGAGCTGCATATGGCTAAGGGAACAGAAATGAGAGGAAGTATAGGAAGCAGTGATTTCCACTAACATCCTTGTGAAGGCCCTTGGTAGAAATAAGTGTTACAGAATGATATGAGAACAGGAGCTTGAAGTAAGGCAAGTTCAAATGTCAGAACAATGATCCTGGCTAGAAAACATATCCTTTCTATCATCAGTTTCCTTATCTATGGCCTACTATTGTTGTGAAGTAAAGAAAAGATGATGCAGATAAAAGACTTTTACATGATTCAAAAATACGCTCTCCTTTTGATATTTTTTTGCCTGTTTTTATATATGTATAGTTTTCTCAGAATATGCACTCTTTGAGTGCAATGATTAGGTACTATTTTTTTTGTTTTATTTTAGAATCTCTCACGTCACTCAGAAGGGAGCAATATGTGTTCTAAATGCTTAATAAATATTTAATGACTGAGCAGTTCCCAGGAATTCCTATTTACATGCCATGAAGATAAATACCCAATATCATTAGCTGATAGATTTAGCAGTGAATCACAAAATTTGACTGAAGAATAGAATCATCTGGAAAACTTAAAACACCAGTACCCCAACCTTGTACCCCAGTGAAGCAGATTCAATTGATTAGAAGCTGATATGGGTACTGATATTGTTTGAAAACATCAGGTAATTCCAACGTGCAGCCCAGGATGGAAAATCATTTAGTCAAATCATGGGTTTTCAAATGTGCCTGGGAGCTTGTTGTAAATGCAAATTACCTGACCCCACACCAGACCTATTGAATCAAGAACTCTCGTGGTGGGATCTAGCCTTAACTAGATTGTTGTAAATGCAAATCACCTTGCCCCACGCCAGACCTACTGAATCAAGAACTCTCGTGGTGGGATCTAATTGTGCCTTAACAAGTTCCCCAGGCAATGCTGATGCAGCCTGAAGTTGAGAATCACTACCAGAACTTTCTTCAGCGCATTCTCAGAATGTCTTTCTAATCTCCGAGTGGGACGCAGCAACTTTGCCCTGTAAAGAGCTCAATAAAGATGAGATTTGTCGAGGGAGAACTGACACTGTTAAGAGGAGGTAAGTGGCTGAGGAGCAGTTACATCTCTTTAGACAACCATTGCCTCTCTGTCTCCAAGTCTGGGTCAATTAAGAAAGAAAAGTTTCTTGTGGTCCTCACTTGTCATTTTTCTTAACCGTCTCCTTGTTCTTTAAAACTGGGTTCTTCAGATGGTTGACAATTACAGAATTCCTTTGTTGTGTGCGAATCTGCAGTGTGTTAACAGGTAGAGTGATCCAAACGGGTGCTAGGTTTTGTTCTGAGATCTCATTAGAGGTGAAGGAGTTTGCTCTGGCTGGCTTACTCACCAGTGTGCTTCATCTTGTTAGTTTGCGGATGAGTTAGTTGCTGACTAAAATCCAGCTGAGTGAAATCCACCTGAGACTGGCTCAAACGGCCACAGGTAACGGGGTTTGCCTTGGATCATGGTGAATATGGGTAGTGGATGCAGAGGGGTGATAGCCTCCCTATGGTGTATCCTGGACAGAGAATCCACAAAGAAAAGTCAGGACTGTGGGTGGAAGCTTAATAAAGTGCTCGAGAATTTCTGAAGCTTATCTGATAGGCCCTGGCCAGCCTAGTCAGCTTGACTTGCATGAAGGAGTTCCTTTGGTGGGCCAATGTGCCACTTTCTTTGGAGAGATAGGGAAGCCTTCAGGAGGTTGACCTTCTCCAGGAGTACTGGATTGTCTTGACCCTGGAAACTGTCTTTCACTTGATTTGGACCCTCTTTCACTGTCCTACTCCCCCACACCCAAAATGATTTCACATATCTGTTTTTAAAGATAATAAATGCTTCCTGCATTGAGGGAGAAAAGTGATTAATTCGGGCTGGAATACCGGAGGCAGTTTCTCCAGAAGGTGCTGGCTGAGCTGGGGTGAATGTCACAAGTGAAGGAGGGACAAGTATTCCTAGTAGAAGATACAGCATTAGGAATAAAGGAGACAGATATAAGCATGGCAGTGTCTAGGTCATTGGGGTGTCTGTCTTGATAGAAGAAAGGGTTTTTATTGGGAAATAGAAGGTAGCAAATATGATCATAAAAGAACAGGGAATGAATAAAAGGTCTTGAATAATGAAATCACATATTTAGTTCTTATCTCATATGCAGCAAGGAGTTATGAATATTTTTGAACTGGCCAGTGAGTGACACTGTTCATCCTGTAGGGAAAGATTGAATTCCTACTATTTTGGAAACATTAATCTGGTGGTAATGTTCAGGATGGAGTAGGCAGAGGGTGGGGCGCATGGAAAAGAAGGCAGAGCTGGGAGAATAATTAGATTTTGAAAAAACTATGTAAGGCTTAGAACATGTGTGTTTAGACTTCAATGGTGGCCTGATAGCAGGATGGATACAAAAGACTTTTCAGTGGTAGAGTTGTTGACGTTGAAGAAGAAGAGTTAAAGCAGATTGCAAAATATTATGTCCAGGTCACCAGGAAGTATGCCCCCCTGAGGAGTTTTAGTGAGTTTGTCTATGGGCCTGTGACTTAGATGACTTGACTACTGGTCAGTGAAGAAGGACGAAGTTGTGAATGAAAGGTCAACATTAAAAATATCTACCTCTTTAAAAGATTCAGCAATCTTTAAGAACTGTCTCCTTTTGTTTTCACTTTAAGCTGCCTTCCTGAAGATATTATTGAAAAATCTTCCCTAAGCTAGATGCTGTTGCCCAATTTTGAACATTTCTAGGAGGCTGATTTACTATTGGTTTATTTTGAAGAGTATGTACAAAGGCAAAATAAATATGGATGTCTTTGTTGTGGTTGTTTTGCTTGGAATTCTGCTGGTTCTCCCATAATTTTCATGAGAAAAGTTCATTCCAATGTGTTCAGTCTGTCATTCTTGAAATCTTCTTATTTTAATATTCATTTTAAAACTTGTGTAAGTTGTAGTTAATGTTTTAGAACAAGCCAAGAACTGTAAAAAATTGTCCTAAGTTGATCTGATCAAGGCAGTGTTGTGGTGGATGGAGTCTTTTAAACTTAGAATTTGATAATTATTGACCAAATGGGATCTATCCTGTGGCTGTAGTAACTAACAAATAAAGGTGCCTTTCTAAGGAGAGATTTTCTCTCAAATTAGACAGAAATTATTAGACAACGGGGAGTCATGATGAAAGTATGTCACCTAGTTGTCATTGGGATAATGTATCACTTGAGGTGTATTATTTCTACATTCTAATGGATAATAGACCCTACTTCTAATAAGCCTGATAACAAAATCTATACACAAAAGTAACTGTGATTGATATATTTCATTTTAAGAAGACTCTTTATTCATTATAGCATTGCTGTCATTTAAAGTTCTGGGTTTCTTCAGTGCATGTAAATTAGCCTCAATACACAGAATGAATATTTTTCAAAACCAAGTCTTTGAAAACTTCAGGGAATGGAATCAACTGTGAGATAGTGAAGAAGGTTAAAAAGTTTAAAATATAACATAATGAAAGTTAGAGAGCCAAAAAAAAAAAATTAAAAATGCTGATTTTCTTTGCGGAGGCAGGCAGGATAGAGTGGAGAAGTCCCGCCTTTGAGGAGGGGATTGCTAACCTGGTAACAGTTTCCTCCTGGCCATGGCAGCCGCTCGATGACTCTCATACTCCACAAAGGCAAAGCCCCGGTTTTTGGTTTTATCTGCAGCGCTTGGGTAGACGATGACATCGACAACACCTTCAGTAACCTTTTTCATCTCTGATAAGATTTCTTCTCTCTTTTTGGTTTTTGGGATGCCCCCAACAAATAATCGGCAGTTGTCCACACTGGCACAAACCCCTAAGAGACGCCCATTTCTGCAAAAAGAGCAGGAAGTTTTGGTTGATGAGAATCCTTGTAGGATTCACGTTGAAAACGGATGGCCCTACACCAGATATGGCCTGCAGGTGTGGGATGTTTGGTATTCATAGTGTTGAAACCATTTTTGGAGAGTTGTGGCTTGTTTTGCAAGCTTATTACATGTGTCAATATGTGCTGTACATCATTTGAAGCTGAGTAGCATCTACTTTCTTTAGGCTAGATGTAGATTCAAGAGTTGTCAGTCCTCACCACTCCCTAAAGCATCCCCAGCACTGAGACCCCTACACCTAACCTAACTACACCTAACCTAACCTACACCTAACTCAAGCCACCTGCCTGGCCCTGCAGTCACTTGAGTTTGCAACACCCAACATTCCCTTTCTTCTGCAGCCAAAGAGAAAAGCTATCCTGATGTGATCTCTGTTAAAAACAGTCTCTTATACTTGATCACATTTTTACATATTATCTTATCTGGCTCACACAAAGAGACTGTGAGATGGGCAGAGTAGATGTTATTTCCACTGACAGATAAACTTGAGACTCCAAGAAATTAGAAGACTTACTTAAAATGTTATAGATTTTAAGGCATGAAACCTAGTTCTGGGATCTCAGTCCGTTTCTTCCACTGTACAGAGTTGCTTCTTAGCAAGTTCAGGTATATACACCTTCACTGGCAGAGTATACATTAATTAAACTATTCTGGAGAACATTTGGCAAAATGTACCAAGAGTCTTAAATGTGCATAACCTTTGACCAAATAAAGTATCTTCTAGGAATACATCCCTGGAAAATAAAAATGAGCATGAGAATTTATGTTTGAGGATATTTATTACTGCTCTTTAAAATCGCCCCCAAATTAGAAATGAGCAAAATACTTCACAGTAAAGAGCTGGTTTAATGCATCTCAACTGAGATGTTATTGGCTTTGGGATTAGACATTTTTTCATTGTATACCATAGTATGTTTATAATCTCTAGTTCTTGCTCACTACATGTCAATAGTGACCAATTGGATCATTCAAAAATGTCTCCCCACCTTGCTAAATATCCCCTTGGGTGGACGGTACTGCTCCTGGCTGAGAATCACTGGTAAACAAAAGATAGGCATTCATACCATCGCATGCTCTGCAGCCATTAAAAAGAGTAATGTAGAAGAATATTTATTGGTTTTAAAAAACAGTTCACACTATGCTGCTAGGTTTTAAAAAGCTATAAAATAAGTATATGAGAAGGCCATTTTGATTAAAAATGTATGGAAAAATCTGGAAAGACAATAAAATATCAACATAGTGGTTATTTTGGCAATGGGGTTACAGAGAAATGGTTTTAACTTTTATTACTTCATGCTTTTTGATGTTTTCCATGTGTTACATATTCAGCTATATGACTTTTGTAATAACACTAAGTTATTAAAAATGGGTAAAGTATGCGTAGCAGAAACAATTCATTTGCCATGAATAAAAACTCTTGGCCAGGCGAGTGGATGATTGGTCTGATTTCCATGGAGCGAGTGGCTCTAGGTTGTGTGGCAGGTTTTCTGACCAGGGTTAGGCCACTGTCCTAACTGTTTCATATGCTTTGCTGAGGAATCAAGGACCATGTGTCAGATCTAGGACAGGCCCATCTCAGTCTAGTAAGAATTGTGCCAGGAGTGTGGTTCTCGTGGGGAGGGAAGTGTTAATAAAATAATCTTCCAAGTTTTTTTTTTTTTTAACTTTACTTAGAAAACACCAAAACCTTATTTTCCACAGTATTAATGTATTTAGAAATTATATTATTTTTGATAGTTAGGGGGCTGTTCATACATCAGTTACCAGCAGGGGGAACCTAAAATTCCATATTTTATTTTTAAAGGGTTGTGGTTTGTCAGGCACATTTCCCGGAACTATTTAGAGGCAAAGAGCCATCTCCTCTCAAAAGCTGAGGGCACAACTTTAATGTCTCTAGAAGCCAGACATTTAGATGATGATCAGTGAATATTTGATGAAGTAGAAACTGATATGATGATATGTGGGAGATAAATGATGGATAAAAGCAAATTGAAGGTCTCTTCTCTGCAAAAAAAGTTCTCTCTCTGGCCAGACAGACCCAAGGCAGTGGAATTAGGTGAGGCTGTCTAGGGGTGTTTATTCTGGCATGTCATATTCCGTTTATCCTACCCACTAATTTTTAAGGCAACACTCTGCCTTTACCTTGCTTCTGGCATCCAACCTGTGCTTTGACTGGAATCCTGGCCAGTAACTTTCTCTTCCTAATTTCTTTGTCATACTTTTCCTTTTCTTTTCCCTTCTCCTCCTCCAATATCACCATCATAGTCTTCTGCAAACATTCACAGGGCACCTAGTATGTGTCAGCACTGAAATTTATGTACATCATCTCATTTCTTTTTCTTTTTTTTTTTTTTTTGAGACGGAGTTTCGCTCTTGTTACCCAGGCTGGAGTGCAATGGCGCGATCTCGGCTCACCGCAACCTCCGTCTCCTGGGTTCAGGCAATTCTCCTGCCTCAGCCTCCTGAGTAGCTGGGATTACAGGCATGCGCCACCATGCCCAGCTAATTTTTGTATTTTTAGTAGAGACGGGGTTTCACCATGTTGACCAGGATGGTCTCGATCTCTTGACCTCGTGATCCACCCGCCTCGGCCTCCCACAGTGCTGGGATTACAGGCTTGAGCCACCGCGCCCGGCCCATCTCATTTATTTTTCAAAACACTGTATATTTTTATCTTTATTTTATAGACAAAGATGTTAAAGTTCACAGAGGATACTGTTAATTATCAGTGGCCATGGTGGATTGATTGTATTCATTATTCATAACCTATCTATTGCCCAAAAGCATTTACAGGCACTAATGGGTAACAATGTGTTAAGTAGGTACCCAAATCCAGTTGATTCCCTACGTAGCCAATTCTACATCCATCTCAACTCAAATACCATTTTGGGAATAACGCTTACTGTTGGGATGTCCAGGTTCCATGAAAGACCAAGGAATGGGGAAACCTTCCAATTCCTGAAATCATAGAACTGTACTATAGCATTTTGTAGCCCTTTCAAAGCACTTCAATGTATGCTCTTTCATGTGGTGAATGCTCAGAACATCTCTGTATTCAAGAGCCAATGATAAAAGTGATGATCAAAGAGGTCAAAGGATTTGTCCAAAGGAACCTGGGCTGGACCCCAGGTCTCCTGATTCCTGCTGCAAACAATCCTCCACACACCACACAAAGGTCTTTGGGTCCATGGAGGCACCTGTGGGAGGGGAACCTCCTTTATGTTTTCTCCAAGACTGTCTTCTAGAATCTAACCTTGGAGCTGAATGGTTAGACTACTAGTAGTTGCCAAATCCGATTGATCTCCTGTGGCTAGGGAGCTTGTAACAAAATGAGCCAGTAGTTAATTGATTTACAGAAATGTAAGGATAATGTATGACTCCTTTTGGGCCTGTAGAAAGTGAGAGAAAAGTGATTGTGGTAAATCTGCTCTTCCTGCATTCATCAAATTTAAGATCCACCCATTTTAAGGCACAGTTTTGTTTCAGAAAGGGAATAGAAGTTTAAAGGAAAACTGCATCTAGAATTGATAAACTGTGCTAAAATATAGTTTTTTAAAAAAATAATTTGCCAACTTATTACCATATTTCAAACACTGGGTTAGGCACTGTAAAGTTGTTATAGTATTCCTGCAATAAACCTATGAAATAGATAGTATCCCCATTTTATAGAGAGGAAATTGAGGCTGAGAGAGGTAAAGTTGCTGACACTCAAACGAAGCATGGCTGACTCCAAAACTGTTGCTTTTTAACTGCTATGCTAATCTTCCTCACGCATGGCTCAGGGCTTCCTTTAAGAAAGAATTTATGACAGTTCTCTCTCCAAGTGAAGATTTTAGAAATCAGACAATTTTATGATGTCAGTTCTGTTTCCAGTTTATAAAAACTGGTTATTGGCTGCACACAGTCAATTGCATCCAGGAACTGTCCTCAGGTCTCATAGTCTTAACTACTCTCTATTTTAGCTGCCCTGCAAATTTATATTCCAACTACGACCTGTCTCCTGACTCCATTACAATGCAGCCACCTTCTCAATGCCTCCCCTGGGATGTCTAGTGTGCATCTCAAATGAAAAGTGCCCCAAAGAGTACTTCCTGTGCTATCCATGGCAATGGCACTGACAAGTTCACAGATACTTGGACCAAAATCCGAGGTTTCCTCCCTGAATTCTGAATTATCTCACAGTCTAAATCCAGAATCTAGCCAGTTTTGTGTACTCATTCCCCAAAATATATCCCAGATCTCACCCTTTCTTATCTTGTCCACCACCGACCCCCTCATCCAACTACCACGCTCTCTTGTCCAGATCTAGACAACTGTAGTAGCCTTCTAACTGGTGTCCTCTTTCAAACCTCACCTGCTATAGTGCATTCTTCACCAAACAGCAAAGGAATGTTTTAAAAACCATAAATGTAATCAAAACTCTTTCCTCCCTTCTATTAGAAGAAAATTCAAATTCTTCACCACAGAGGATTCTGTACTTCCTCTGGTACTTTCTCACAGAGTACACAGCTCTCCAACTGTATTGCTTTCAGTTCTCCTGTTTTTTTTACCCTTGCTGGCTGCATGGGCTTACTTTCTGCCCCTCAAACATATCACACTTGTTTTCACTTTGGGAACTTTGCACTTGATGTGCTTTCCTTTCCTGAAATAACCTTCCCAAGATCCGATTGTCATGACTGATTCTTTTCATTCAAGCCTCAGGTTAAGTTTCACTCTCCCAGGGAGTATTTTCTTAAATAACCCAAATTAGAGTAGCCACCTCCTCACACAACTTATACCATCCCTTGTTTGATTTTTCATACTATTTTTAGTAATCTTAGATATTTGCTCTGTGATTAGGAAATTATACCTTGATATATTCCCAATATTTTGAACAATATCTATTATATATTTATGAAATAGGTAAATTATTGTTTTGTTTCTTTGAACACTCGTAGAACTTAGATATTAAGTAAATATTTAGTCATATTTATTTTTACAAAATGCATTCTAACCTATTTTATTTCTGGCTTGGCTTCTTTTTTGGTATACACCATATTAGATAAACTTGACAGAAAAACAGATATAGGTGCATTGTCTGTTTCACTTTTAATCTAGAAGAGGTAAACCTTACCTAATTTCATAATTATTAAGTTGCTTGATTGCATTCTTGGCTTCCAGTTTATTTGAAAATGTTACAAATGCATATCCTCTATTGTTTCCATTAAAATCCATCATCATTCTCATTTCATAAATTTTACCAATCTGTAAGTAACAGAAATAGAAAATTTATATTTATACATTTGTACTTCTGAATGTGTGTATGTGCTGATGCAGACACACACACACACACACACACACACAGTGTTTTCTGAAGTATGCCTCCTGCTGGTACTAATTGGCATTTGCAATGTGGAATGGTTTGCATATTTTCATGTGGGTTCAGATCAGTTATCTGATTCATGAGAGAAGTCAAGTTAAATAAAATGTTCACAAGTAACATTTCAGCCTGAGTTAATAGAATGTGTTTTTGTTAGAGCAAATGAACTTTCACCACATAATTATCTGAAACATCTCAGAGACATGAAAACACATTTTATCATAAGTACAATTTCTTACATCTGTAATTCCAGCATTTTGGGAGGCCAAGGCAGGTGGATTACTTGACCCTGGGAGTTTGAAACCAGTTTGGGCAAGATGGTGACACCCTGTGTCTACAAAAAATACAAAAATTAGCTAGCGTGGTGGTCCGTGCTTGTGTCCCAGCCACTTGGGAGGCTGAGGTGGGAGAATTGCTTGAGCCCAGGCAATTGAGGCTGCAGGGATCCATAATTGTGCCACTGCAATCTAGCCTGGAAAACAGAGCAAGACACTGCCTTTAAAAAAAAAGTATAATTTCTCGATATGTATGTCCATGTCCTGTAAATTGTCCTCTGAAATCTCCATAGTTTAATGTCCAGTTGGTCCTATTCTATCATTGATGTTTAAAACAAAAAGCAAGAAAGCTCATTTGCCAAACTAACTTCTTAACTGTCTTTTTCCTCAGCCATGACATCAAAATGGACACAGATATGTTTCAGGGGATGATCTGGGAGCCTTGTCATTTTCTCCCTCTGCTGGCTGAATGTAAATGCTAGCCTAAATACTATTAACTCAGGGCCAGGGCCTCCAGAGCAGGAGAGTACTCTATTCCCCTGGCTATCATGACTCAACTTGCCCATATGACACTCCCTTCTGCCCCATGACTGTCCTGCAGGAATCTAGACTGAGCAATTTACTATTGCTGGCTGCTGTAAGAAGGGTTGCCCAAATAAATATGATGGGGCATGTCTCAGAGAAGTGCCGTTAAGCACATGCCATTACCTTTGCGGCTGATCACTTCTCAGCTCAGCCTTACACTACCCCACCCACAGTTCTTCAGTAATGAACATTTTTTTTCTGGGCTCAATAGGAAAGATTTGAGCATGTTTCATCTCTGTTTCAGGTTTTCTTGATGCTGATTTTCAGATTCAGTAGATACGATTCTTACAGAATTAAGTCTTCATTATTTGTCCTCATGCCAAGAGGGATTGCATGTGTAAAATTAGGTACAGTTCTGAATCTGAGGCTATCATACATACACACAGACAAAATTGATTTTGGCATTTAGGCAGAGAGCTAAATTCTCATATTTACTAAAATGTTCAGGAATATACTTGTTGCTAAAAACTATTTGGTAAATTATTAAAAATAAAATTTAAATTTGTGCTCTTCCTTTAATTGAAAAGCCATGTTCTTAATCTTCTGGATGCATTTAAATAGATAAGAAATTTAAACTTGGAGAAGAAGATTTCATTCTGGATTAACGTGTACAGATATATGTTGAGTCATGACAAACATATACATTCTTTTAAAATGAAAATATTGTACTTTATAAAGCCATATTAAAATTTCAAGTTGGAAGAATATCTAATTTTAGACAGGGTGTTGTAGTGTTATTATAGATGGATAGACACATTGAGTTTGTAGTAGATGGCAAAGATTGGGGAACAAGATATAGATTTGAAAGTCATTAGAAATTGTAGCAATGCCAGCTGTCAGTAACAGGACAAGAGCTAGGTCAAAGCACTGATTATAAAGAGACAATCACTAAAAACTTTGTCCATAATTGAAGAATGGTAATTGGAATGAAAACAATCATTGACCAAGAAGGATAAGAATGAAGTGAAGAGAATAGGATTTTTCCCTTGACAGATAATAAAAATTAAATGTTAAATTTGGACTCACTTTTTCACATAATGGTATAAGCTCATCCTCAAAAAGGTCTCGAGGAAGTTTTCCAATAAAAATTTCACAGCCCCTTTCAGGGGGTGCAGCATTCCAGCCAGGTGGAGGGCCACCATATTTTCTTTGTCCATTCTCCTGCAAATTCAGGACAGGCGTGAAGGAGAGGAGAAAACTATAAAGTCTAATTCAGTTTCCTTGAATATTTTTCAAAATCACTTCACAATAAGGAATGTATTTATCATTGACAAATAATAATAGTTGACTGGTTAAAGGAGAAAAATTAAAACCTTTTATATGGATTATAATACTACACTCTGCTTCAGCAGCTTGCTTGAGATAAACATTGTAAAAACTTGTGCTAGGCAAGTATAAGGTTTTTCTTTTTAAATTTCATTGAGGTAAGAACACTTAAGAGATCTATTTTCTTAGCAAACTAAACAGTGAACAGATCAGGGTAATTAGCATATCCATCATCTCAAACATTTATCATTTCTTTGTGTTGGCAATACAAGGAATAGCCTTCATCTAGCTATTTAAAACTACATATTAATAATATATTATTGTTAATTGTAGTCATCCTGCAGTGGTATAGAACACTACAACTTACTCTGGCTGAGGCAGAAGGATCCCTTGAGCCCAGGAGTTCATTATAACTTCTACAACTAATATTTTAAGAAGTTTTATGCTATAAAATCATACATGTGGAAAAAAACATAGTGATATATAAGGTAAAAGAAAAATTCTCCAATGTAACACTCTACCCATCCTTAGATGTAGTTACTGTTAAAAATTTCAGTCTGCCCTTTCAAGTATTTTTCTATGCATATTTTTAAAAGACATGTTAGTTGTTTAAAGACACAGTTTTGTATGATAGTTGTTTTTTTAAAACTGAAGTAAAGCAGCTTGTGGTGTGCTTGTTAAATCTTCATATACATCAACTTGAGTTTTTCTCAATTATTTTCTAAGTATTAGCACATAGGCTCATTGGATCACAGTATTTAATTGATGTCTGTGGTGTCTGTGGTCCTGATCACTTTTTTATTTCTAATAACTCATACCAAGTTTTTAAAAATAATAATTTTAAAAGATGTCATATGAGTCTTCTACTTTGCCTGGATTCTTTTTTTTTGTTTCAGACAACTGAAGTTTTAAAAATCAACCTGAATATTTAAATTTTTGACTAGAGAGTTCTTGTATATTTTTCTTACTCTAACATTCTTGTCTAGTAGCAAAACTTTGATATCACTGAGAAGTCTGAGAAATTGAATTCTTTATGATTATAGAAAAAACCCAAAACTTGGTAACTTGGTGGTCTATGTCTCAACTAAGAATTACCTTAAAAATGTGCAATTGACATTTTCAGAGACATTAATGGCTTTTATTCCTTTACTTATTTTCAAACAAATAGCTATATAGTACTTACTATATGCCAGATACTGCTCTGTCATTACTTAATGTCATGGGTTAAGTAAGGACTGTTACTATTCCATTTACATAAGGTGCCAAAGCCCAGATAAATTAAGTAATTTGCCAAGATCACATGGTTGGGAAGTGGAGAAGCCAGAATTTGAACCCAGGCAGTCAGGCATCAAAGTTCATCAGCTTAATTTCTAAATTTTGCTCCTTTGATATATGAAAGCCATTTAGAACAGACACATACATTAAAATATTCCTTATTCGCCCGGCATGGTGACTCATGCTTGTAATCCCAGCACTTTGGGAGGCTGAGGTGGGTAGATAGCTTGAGTCTAGGAGTTTGAGACCAGCCTGGCCAACATGGTGAAACCCCATCTTTGCTAAAAATATAAAAATTAGCCAGACATGGTGGCACATGCCTGTAATCCCAGTTAGCTGGGAGGCTGAGGCATGAGAAACACTTGAACCCAGGTGAGATTATGTCACTGTACTCCAGCCTGGGTGACAGAGCAAGACTCTGTCTCAAAAAAAAAAATTACTCCTTATTTATGAAAAAATTTATCATGCCATTGAATAGCAAATTCCCTACTGCAATTTAAAATCATTTCAATTTCTAATCATTTTATTACATAAAATATTTGGAAGAATATATCTCATATTTCTAACCACAAAATTCAACGTTCAAAACTTTTCAGTGCCAGTATGATACACTGAAATTTCCACAAGTGACACCTGATCTCATATGATGGGTACCCAAAATTATTAAAAGCATTGTATAAAATTACCTTCAGGCTATGTGTATAAAGTATATATGAAATGTAAATGAGTTTCATGTTTATATTTTGGGTCCTATCCCCAAGATATCTTTATTATGTATATGTGAAAATTCTAAAATTAAAAAAATCTGAAATCCAAAATACTTCTGGTCCTAAGCAATTTGCATACCAGATACTCAACCTGAATTGCCAAATTACCGTCTTTCTCCCTGGGCAAACTCTCCATCTGAGTGACAGTGATTCTTCTGAGCCCATTTTTGCATATCTTTGATGTCTATAACATTCAACAGATTATTAGAATAAATTTACTATACATTTGGTGGCATTTTTACCCTTGCGGTTGAGGACACTGAACTTTCATCCCGTAATAGTAAAGTGGTAATTCCAGAAATTCTACTTTGAAAAGCTTTGATAGTTTGAAATTAAATAGGCAACCAGCAGATTGACTTTTTAAAATTTATCTTCAACTTTCTTGTTTGCTATAATTGCTAAAAATGTCATCCAACTATTTTATGCATATCATGTGTATAGGAGGATTTATCTGCTTATGATCTGAAATAATTGACCAGGAAAGCATATTAATTATCTTTATGTGTTTTCTATAAACGCTTGAAAAAATTCCAAAGAATATTTTTTGAGACAGTAAAGAGATGCTCTGAAGCTCTCTCAGTGGGGGAGATTTGCTCTGTGAGCCACCCACCGGTCTCGGAATGCACCAGTAATGGAAGTCCAGACCAATTTAAGGCAGGCACTGGGCATTAGTCATGAGGTTAGAATAGCTGTCCATTACTCAGAAAGGACAGTTGGGCTCTGGGTTGCTAGTATGTCAGGCACTATTTTCATAGTTGAGGAGTTTAAAATAGATAAAGCCCAGTTATAACTGCTCTTTTCCCTCCTAGCTGATATCTTACTCAAGGGAAGCATTCTCCCCAGCAGCACAAATGTATTAATAGTTCAGACTAAAAGAATATAGATTTTTGTTTTTCATAAGACAGTGTTCATTAAGCTCTGGAAACGTTTATTTTTCTAATCAAAGACTTAGAAACTGTTGTCTCTCTAGAGTCATATGCAAATAGGTGGAAAATCTTCAGCTATGTAAATGAACAGTTGAGGACACAATTCTAACTATAAATCCAGTGGCTTTAATTTAAATATTGAATGTTGAGTCTACTCAGTAACTCAGTTAATATGTCAAGAGTACTTGGAAATTTCCTCCTATCACAGATATTTCAAGTCCTTCATGATGGAGCCATAGAGTCTTCAAGAGATTATGTCTACCATCATCTTGACCTTGGATGAAAACCATACAACCTTCTTCAATAAATGATTCTAAGCAATAAGTCTTAGCATGGAGGTTGAATGAACTGAGTTAATGTTGAACACTGAGCATTTGATCTTATTATACAGTTGGGGAATCTGGGAAAAAATTGCCTTCTCTTCTAGAACTTAAAAATGGCAGATACTTGATTTTTCCAGCTTTCCTTGCAGCTGGGGCCATCATGGTTATTGGACAAGCATGGTTTCCTTTACTAAACCATGGATAATCATGGTTTCCTTTACTAAAATTTAGTTCTGATGAAAAAATCACAAATGGTGCAAACTTTAATGCTGAGTGTTCTGTGATGTTAGATAACATTTTCTTACCATGACAAATATGTGATGTGGTTTTGGGTATTGTTCTTAAAAGCTTACCCTTGAATTGGATTCTTCACATCTAAAGTTTCTGTGAACCAATTCCCTTTTAATAAACTCTTTTCTATTTAGCCAGTCAGAGTTAGCTTCTGTTACTTGCACATGATAGTAATGGCAGCAGAACCAACAACTATCTTCAACTGAATCAGGTATTTTGCCGAGTGTTTTACATTCATTTATTCTTCTCAACAAATCTATGAGGATGCTACTACTATTGCTTTCATTTTATGGTTGAGGAATCCAAGGCTTAGAATATGTCCAAATTTATATAAGCAATAAACAGCAGAGACTAAATATGAAGATGCTTGTAGTCACATTATCTTTCTTTCATTTTTACATTAACACAATACACTAATTTCATAGATGAGGAAACTGTATCCAGAGATATGTAACTTGTCTAATATCACAGTGGTTTAATTTGTTGTAGAAAACACTAGAATAAAGATCCTATCATTCTGGATTTGGTGAACTTTATGGCATATATAGTATTCAAAAATTCTGATGATTATTTTTCTCAGGCTTACCAGCCTCATAAAACCTCATGTTATGTGTTACATTTACTTTCCTGTTCAACTTCACCAGTCATGGACACTGGATGATTATTGTTTCCCATAAACAAGCCCATTCATAACTGGAAGGACATTAATTAAGGAACCCTCATTCAGCCTGTTTTTTCCTGAGTACTAATTTCAATTTCTTTAATGGCTCTTTGGAAAGTTCATATTTTAAATTTGTAATCGTCTTTGTGGTTCTCTTTGGTTCTTTGTTTTTTTTCTCTCTCTCCAAGGGGGAAGAAATTGTGTGCTTTTCATAACTAAACTTGTTTCAGATCTTTTCCTATCCATTTTCTAATTTATCAGGTTTGTTTTTATTCCTGCTCCTGTTCCCTTAGGTCCTGGTTAATCTACCCATGCTTAGTAGCATTTCAAGCCTTTATCAGCTTGCCAGTCACCAGAACCATGCCTAGAACAGTGGTTCTGTGCCCATAACTCCTGTGCATGGTTCTTAGAGTTGACAACAAGGCATTGAGGACATCTCTCTTGACTGTGTCACTTGTGTTTCATGAGTGTATACTGTATTTTTCTAGTTATTGATTTATAAAATTGAATAAAAGTATTTATTACACATTATTTCTACTATATTCCACCTATATACTAGATCCTTCATTATGTGTTAGATAGTTTAATGAAAGTCTATAGGGCCATAAAATGTACCAACAGGACTCTCTTCGATGTGATTTTACCTTTGTCTCCTTCCACAGATTTTGTTGACTGAGGACAACAAACAGTGCTATAGGGGATATTCATTTTTAAATTGTAAATAAAATAATTATCTATTTTGTATGATTTGTTCCCCTTCACATCTTGTTAAAATCAGTGACTTCATGTTGGTAAAATCTGTTTCTAGACTGGAATTTAGAAAGCAGAATTTATTTGACTTAATATAATGTAGAAGTTGGCATTATTTCTATTAGCTATTTTCTACAATTTTTATAAGGCATATACAATATGAATGCCAGATATAATGTTGCTGAAGTAGAAAGAGTAATAACAATTGTAATATAAAGACTAAATGAGTTGTTGAAATTTATGGAAATATAGAATTAGAAACAAAGACAGGAAAAGCTAGGGTATGAACATAATATTCAAATATTAATTTAGCTTTATCATCATACAGCCTAGTGTTTCTCAAAATATGTGAGGATATTAGGTAGTTTATAGGTCAAAATTTCTTATTTTAATAATTATGGATTTTTAAATGTACATTAGAAAAAGTATAATTAGCACACAAAACCTATGGGTTTCTACTTACATAAATGAGAAAAGCTTTACTTTTAAAAATAAATGACTAAAAATAGTAAGTTGATTCAATTAATTCTAAATAAATAGTATTGGTGGCATGTTTCTATGCCAAAAATCATGAAGAAAGATACAAATGGCTCTTGACTCTTGAAAATTTATTGATTGATTTTACTTTTTACAGAGCCCTGACATTTTATCTTTAAAAAGTGTATGACATGGTTCCTCTGAGGAAACAGCTATTAGTAAATTATGAGTCAACTTCCTGTTTCACTTTAGAAGGGTGACAATTAAGAATCTATTTCCAAGGAAATTAATCCTAATTTCACTTGAAGTTGTTAACTGTCTTATGGAAGCAGAAGCAATTTGTGTTATCAAATTGATACATTTAATAATATCTTTTAATAATTTCCCTTTATATTTAAGGGATTATTCAGCATCAATGTTTGAAGCATTCAAAAGCAAATAGGCTTTTTAAAATGATGTGTTTTGAAAAGATTTTTATAATATATGATGTTGGTCCTTCATAAGAATACTGAATTTGAAAATAGACAAAATTAGAAAACAAAACTTTTTTTCAAAATTAGCAAACAGAAAACAGTGTTTTTCAAAATTAGAAAACAAAAAGCATTACTGCGTGTGGGTGTGTGTTTCTACAAAAGAGAACAAGTAAAATGCCAACTTACTTCTAATACTCTCTGTTTACCCTTTCCAGTAAAGTTTGCGTAATGATGGACTGCAAAGCATTATCTGTTTTTTTGAGTCCGGGAATTGCTGTGCTCATGCTCACTCCTGACTCTGGGCATGTGGCTTGACACACTGCTTCCATCTGTAGGAACCTCTAATTCCTTCCAAGAAGTAATTAGGTGACAGCTTTAGTGATTCCTTAATCGGTTTGGGGCTTTTATCCTTTTAGAATGTGTAATTTATTCAATAGACCCATCTAACTTTTTGTTTACTTACAGATACGATTTGCCTTTTTGAATTAACTATTATTATTGCCACTAGATCTGATTAATTTATGCAAAACTTCCCTTGTACAGATAAAGACACAACGAAGAACATTTGGTATGGGTAATTGCTCTTCTATCTTTTCCTAGTTCAACATATGCCAAACATAATCACATCTAATGCACTGGGGTTGAGGCATGTAAGGAATTTTATACAATCATTCGTCTACTTACAACACCCTTGTGAATTTTAATTTCTGACAAGCTGAGGGACGTGGCAAGCCACTAAATCTTTTCTGATTTTAATTACTTCATCTACAAAGGAGTAGGAGGGTTGACTAGGTAATTGCAGTAGTCCTGTCGGGATGTCAGGGTGCTTGTGAAAGGAAGGCTGACTTTGATATCATGTTTAATGGAGGAAAATGTTCATAGGCTGTTTTGTGAGTTAGTCAATTGGAGTCTTAAGAGGATGTTGTTGTAATTTTAAAAATCAGTGTATCTCCAATTCCATATCCACTTGACATGTATTCTGTTAACTACCTAATGACTTTTTATGCATTAATTCACTTTGTTGCTTAAAGAAACTTGTACCAAAAAGAAAATATATATTGTCCTTATAAGTGGAATATCAGTATTATTTCTCACAAATGAACGGTAATTATAAAAGCAATTGTAAAAGAGGGAAATCATGATCAACTTCTACCTAGACATTGTCCTCTACTAAAAGCTCTAGACTTACTCTTGGTACTTAAAAAGGCTTGCAGGGCCTGGAGAGGTGTTTAAATCATACCTCCAACAACTAACTTTCCTCACCTGAAATCCTGAAAGAGTGTTGAAAGTGGAATAATACTCTCTATATGGGATTGGATGTTATTTAATGATGTGGTGAATGTACCATTTAACGTCATCTCGGTTCTCTGCTCAGCACCTCTTTGACAATGTTATAAAGGATCACAGCTGTTGAAATCCTATACAAATTCATGATTGGCAGGATCTGTGATCTCCATAATTTCTTCTTCGCCTAGCTGGTTTGAAAGCTCTTTGCATCTCATAATGGTAAGCTTTCAGGTTCTGAAGGTGAAGAGTCACTTATGTTTAGTTGCTGATCAGTACTAACAACCAGATAGCACTTTTAAAAATTGTGAATTTGTCAGCAAGTGGAGTCCAAAGTCCATAATGCCTGGTCTTGCTTCTGCATGTTTGGGTCATGAAGTTCACACTGATTTTTAAGCTGATAAAATAGAAAACTTCTTTGCTTATAGCTTAAGGGAAAGCACTACCATGTGCAGTTTGTGAAGATTTTGAATCTTATATCGAAGACTTCGTGCATAGCCAACACCCTGTTAGGCTATTCAAGGAGAAATTCATTACTATTTGGAAACAATAGCTTCTGGAACATATCTGTGTTCCTTGGGATAATGAAGTTCCTTCAAATGTTGGGCACACACCCTCCACAAAGGAATTCACAGAACTCCTTCATTTGGAGTCTTTTGCACCATGCTGTGGCATCTCTGGCTAGTAGAAGTAAGACTGCTTCCTAGCTTTAAAATAAAGTTGGCCTGTGGGTGGCTGGGGTGATAAGCTTAGGGAAGCATGAGCCTGTGATCATCTACTGGTCTCATCCTGTTCTGATGCTTATTGCTACCTATTTAAAGAGTTGATATCTATGCACTTGGTGAATGACCTAAGTCCTTGGATAGCAGGGATGTGAGCAGGTGGTGAGAACAGTCAATAGAGGCAACAGTAGGACCCAGGAGCTATATTTTTCTATGAAGTCAGATTCCTATCTCTGTCCCTAGGATTTTTTGTGCAGCAGTTGAAAAAGGATGTCAATGCCACAGTGTTTTTCCATCTGCTCTTCTCAGAACCAGTCTAGATGAAGCCAATTAGTAAACCTGAGGCCCTCAAGTTATTTTTATTGTATTATTTGTGGGAAAATATGCCATTTGAGAAATATCCAATTAAAATTTCCTAAGTACATTATCTCAAACCAGAAAGATGGAGAGTTAACTTAATTTGGGGCACTCTTAGAAGAGAAATGGTATTCCAATTAGACTTGATCTACCATCATCCTTGGTACCTGATGGCTTGTGTTTGCTGAAGAATCGAAAAAAATAGAATCAAAACATGTAATTTCATTGAAACTCAATACAAGAGAGTATGCATAGAAAGGAAAGTGTGAGGGGTGGAAATTTAATACTGTATTTTGTTCCTAGTTTGTAGAGATTGTTCCCAGGACACCAGGTCCATGGGTGATTAATAGAGGAATGGAAAGATGACACCCACTTACTTATCTGCAGTAATATCACTAGATGTTAGAAATTAAGACATATTAATGTCTTCACTGCCCTAAACTGTTCTGTGTTTTATAAATATTTTGTTTAAGGAGTACTGCCTGTGTGCTCCATCTTCCCGGGATACTTAGCTCCTTGCAAAGTTTGCTTGCTCTCATAAGTCTCAGCTTCAATGTCATTTTTCCTAAAGAAGGTCACCTAGCATTCTCTTTTACACAACCTGGTTTATCACATTCTTGGCACTTACCATGATCTGTAATTACTTTGCTTATTTCTTTGTTTATTTTCTATCTTTTCTATGAGACTAATCTTCATAAAGGTAGAAACATGTCTCTCTTTGTGGTGGAATCAACAAATGAATTAATAAATGAATGGGTGAGAGTCCAGTGCTTGAGTTGGTGTGAATAGGCAGCACAAGAAGGGATACACCTACTTCTTTTAAGGAAGAGTAAATACTCTTCTATATTATAAGGAATATTCTTTAAAGCCTAGATTAGCTTCTAATATAGAGCACTAGTTTAAGGATTTGAGTTGGAGTCAGCAAACATTTTTTTGGAAAGGGCCAAATAGTTGATATTTTAGGCTTTTTGTTTGTTTTAAAAAAGAAATCCTTAAAACATAAAAAAAAAAAAGTATTCATAGCCTGCAATTATGACAAAAACAAGCTGTATCCACATTTGGTTCATGGGGCATAGTTTGTTGACCCTGGTTTATAACTGTGTAACTCTGGGGCTTATTTTCTAACTACAAAACAAAAAGGATTGGACTATATCAATATTTTTTTAAAGTTTATATATATGCAGAATTAGAAAGAATAGTCTAGTGAACATGGGCACCTATCATCCAAATTTAATAATGAAGATATTTTTCCCATGATTTTTCTCTTTCTTTTACTCCTAACCAAATGACCCTTAAACTTTTTTTACCTTATAAGATTTTTTCTTGTAATAAAAATAATCTGCATTTATTATAGAAAATTTAGAAATGAAGAAGAACAAGCAAGAAAAAATTAGAGATTACCCTTTGTTATTTTACAATATCCTTTATTGTATGTGAATAATTTCTTAAAATATTATTTATAAATTTATGTGTAGCCTTCAGATTTTTAACCAGATGTTAAAATTTGGATACTTCTCCATGTCTGAAAATTCTTTGAAATCATAATTTTACATTGCTACATAATTTGAAAATATAAGGATGATCATAGCTTATTTGATCATTAATATTTATTGGATATTTAAGGTATGTTTAAGTTTAAATTTTTAAAAAATTATAAATTTCACTATGATGAACATTCTTATGTCTAAATATTTGTCCTCATTCCTCAGGTCAAAGAGCATGGTCAGTTTTAATTCTCTGTACAAAAAATGCTCATCTATTTGGTACCCACAGCTGTATTGCCCATTTGAGGCTGCCTTATATTGTTGCCATTTTAAATTTTGAATACATTCTTTTTCATTTCACCCATGTTATATGAACTTTAGATCAGGCACTGCATTTTTATATTCTCTAATCCCAAGACTCAGCACTAACACATTTTTCTCAATAATAAGGATTAGGAAGCAAAACAAGAACAAAACCAAAACAACAACAACAACAAAACAAAAACAAACAAATAAAAAACACTCCCCAAAACAACAACAAAAAAGAAAACCTTGATGCTTATTTAGGATGAGCATTGGTTTAAGAAAGCAAGGGGACTATCATACCTTATAAAAATTGATTGTGCTGTAATGATTTTTGGAAAATAGACTACCAATAGGATAACTAAACAATGCTAATATATACCACATTTTAACTGATTATATTTAAATATATATATATATTTTAAAATACATATTTTTCAATATATTTTTAAGTCTGTGTCTATTTTTAAAAATATTCAGACTACTTGAGGGTGATTTTTATTAAATATACATTTAGGTTTAGTTGCAATAGAATTAAACTTGATGTCACCAGACACCACATTGGGTGGAAGTGTATACTTTTCTGAATATGCTTACCTATGAGAATGTATTTTTCTAGTTCTAAGGAGAAAATTCCAGGTGGGAGGAGCATCACATATCACAGTTTATGACCCACATCATTAATGCATTCTTGAGGAAAGGTTCATCATAATGTAATTTGCTTTTGTCTTTAGCTATCAAAGAAATATATGCTATCTTTAGAAATCTGGAAGTACAGTTAAGAATTAAAAAGTAGGGAAAAAAATCCCCACATATAATTCCATTACCCAGAGGCAAAGACTGTCCCCATGTTAATAATGTAGCACATGTCCTTCCAAAATATTTTTATAAGGCTTAATGCAATTATGAAGCTTGAAGTTTAACTTAGTAGCATTATACAATTTTTATCAATAGTATGTATTGAATACCTACTATATGTGGGGTATTGCATTACGTCTCTTTATTCTCTAAAATACTTCGACAAACATTTCAGCTGTCAATATCCAAAGGTATTTATTTAGTTTTTTAAAAGTCACAAAGCATATTTCCAAATCCTTAGAAGCAGGCATTATTGCATCAGTTGCTACATAAAAGGCTGGCTCACGTTATTAAGTAACTCACATAATTCTATTTTTGATATCTGTATTTGTCCTGCTAGTGATAAGAGAGCACAAATTTATTACTCTCTGTTTTTGAATTCTTGTTTTGCAAATATTCAACATTCAGTATTAGAGACTGTAAAGATATAGCAAAAGTAAAGCCTTCAAACTCTAGTTCATAAAATTCTAAACTACCATTTTATGGGTATGCTCCTTGGATTGTATTAAGATGTTTCTTTATCTTAACTTTTGTACAAAAACTTAAAAAAAAAAAAGTGAACCTGATGTTCTTAATGTTGTCTTTCTTTCTTTTTGTATAATCCAGAGTAGGAAGACTGAAGTATTAGTAAGACTAAAGGATTTTCCCTAACTTAGGAAAAGTTTGAAGTTGTGTTTCTACACATGCCTGGTCCACCCTTTCGACCAAATAGTCCAGTGTGCTGACCAGTTACTAGATTTAGAAGATACTAGAATCACAAAAATCATGGGCAAATAGTTGGGTATTGCCAAGCTGATCTTCCAGGAGATTATGGCCTGGAGTTGTTAAGGGACTTATTTAAGATCATACAACTCATATGTGGTTGGGACTAGATTAGATTATAGGCCTTCTGATTTAAAGTCTTATGTAATTTTCACCCTCTGTAGCAAAAATCAGGAGGGATTCTTCAATTCATTCCAAATGATTGAGTTATATAGGTATTTACTTTATGATTAGAAGCCTTAGGTATGGATAACTAGCGTTTAGAATATTAGGCTTCCACATTATTGAAGATCTGATTCAACATTCACGCTGCTAACCAATATTACTTAAAGTGAATCATGTTACAAAGTTTAGTTTCAAACAAAATGTTTTTTGCATGCTCTGGCATGCTGCTCTCTAAAATTGCAATCTTAAAAGTCTCATTATAACAATTCTTAGTTTTCTGAATCTAGCCAAAAAATTTGGCCAATAACAACAGAATCTTAGCCTATCAATCTCACAAGTTATCTAAACTGTTTGTGCCTTGTTTTCTTCAACAGGAAATTGGGGATAAACATAGTAGCTACCACACAGTGTATAGTAAGGACTAGATTAATTAATATACACAAAGCAGTTAGAATAGTTTTGTTATTATTATTACAATTAAATTGTGGTCTAAGTCATTACTATAAACATTTCCTGAATATTATTGAATATGTAAGATCAAGGTAATATGAAGATTGGCCATATTTTTTTAGGAATAGGTTATATGAAAACATTTTAAATTATACATATTTTTTTCTCTATCAGATAAATGTTCTTAAATCATAACATTAGACCTTACAATGGAGTAAAATTTTAAAATGAAGTAAGATTATCTCCATTGTTATTTGGGTCTCTTCAAAAAAATTATTTGCAAAGTGTCTACATAGCTCTAACAATAACGCTACAATTGTCCTTCAGAATTTTTTATGTGATTACTGCTGGTAACTGAATATTATTTCATCTGCAACAGGAATTTAAAATGGAATTGGACTTTTAAGATTGATGCATAATAGCTGTACATATTTATGGAGTCCATATATGATATTTTAATACATGCATACAATATGTAATGATCGAATCAGGGTGATTAGGGTATCTCTCACCTCAATTATTTGTGTCGGGAACATTTCAGATCTTCTTTTCTAGCTATTTTGAAATATGTAATAAATTATCATTAACTCAGGCCTCTGGTTTTGGTATGAAACCAAGTGACTAGAGTACCAAGCAGCATGAAAGGTAGCAGGAAACTATTTTTGCATTGTTAACTCTCACTCAACATTCCAAACTCAGAAAAGAGATTGGAGAGTTTGAGGGAAGTTTTTGAAATTTACGCAGATATTTGGAGGCAACTGCTGTTGTGTTGTGAGTTTTAGTTCCTCCTAAATGGGAGGAATTGGGAGTTGCCTATTATTTTGCCTCAAGCAGGAGAGAGGAGTAGCAGAGAAACCACCTAGACAACTTGATGTGTATTCCCTGCCTTTGTGTTTGGGAAACATGCTAGCTGGTGGGTCTAACTCACTCCTGAAATCTCTCAATGTGAACAACAGCCTTGTTGTTGGCAAGGAGAAGTGGTTGCTTTGTGTAACCTCAACTTCCAGATTTTGCTGGGTCAGGGAATGTGTGTTTCCAGGGGACTAGAGTTTGGCCACATGTAGGAATTAATGATTATCTCCCATCCTGTCCATGAGGGCAGATTCAGATATCAAAGAGAACCCAGCAGGAGGCTGGGTGTCTAAGGATCCTACAAAGAATTGCACAAGTTTTAGATACCTGTCAGACCCCAGAGCCCAATGAAGGTAGCTCAGTAAAAACTTTCCTTTCCCCATTCCTCTGCTTAATTTTTCCCTTCTGCTTCAGTCAGGAGTCAGAAATTATTGTTACCAAACTGGTGTCGGAAGAGGAAAACACAGCTCAGAAAAACAGAAAACAAGTAATTCTCCACCTTGACATACTTGGGGAAGGGGAAATAACTATAACTTTGAGTGATTTTATGTCTTTACGTTTATTCTAAACTGTATCTACTATGGAATAATATCAATATGAAAAAATATCAATTTTTTAATGAAGGATCTTTTATTACCTGAACGTTACCAGAAAAGTTACGAGACTTGACCTGAATTTCATCTGGGGGAAAAGGAAGAACAAGTACCCAGAGTTGAATTAAATATAATTGGCAATTAATATTATTTTAATATTATTTTTTATAAATTCTGCTTGTTGAGTATAATAATTATACATTGATAGTTTACTTAATAATTTTCTTATATTTATGTATTTAGGTTTATGACATGCATTCTGGCTAATGTCACTCTAGACAGGTTTATGCATATTTCTATCTTATATTATGGGTTCTTAGAAATACAGTACCAGAAAGGGAACACTCTTATGTATAAATATTAACAGATTGCTGTTTGAAAGGATTGAAATGCTATCTATTTCACCATCTTTGCACAAATGTTTCTAATATCAAGAAGTTCAAAATTTAAAAAAGATTCAAAAACATTCTTGATGTTATAACATTTACGGGAAGTGTTGATTGCAAAAAGAAAGAAAACCCTCTTTTCAAAAGTTTATTAATGAGCCTAAAATAATTTGACTTTTAAGTATTAAGAAAACTAATACATCAGTATCTCAGTGACTTAAATGAAACTTCAAAAAGTCAACTATGAAATAATAGAAACTTAATAGAAATTAAAATACTTTGCTGTACTGTAAAAAGACCAACATTTTTTCTTTAAATAAGATAATATATGTATCTAACACTACATAGTTTGCTTTTTAAAGCAGCATAAGTTCTCTAAAGGAAGATATCATAAAGATAATAGTAATATACAGATAATTTCTAAAAGACAACATCTATGAATAGATAGTTTTATTGTGGTTTCTTTTTTTTTCTTTTAAAAAATGCTAAACACGGACAAAA